GGCAAATCGGACCTGAAGATATAGTGATTTTTTAAATTCTCCTATATTTTGGACACTATTGATGGCAGAGGCCTCAAATTTTGTATATATACTCGGACTGATCACCCAAGACCAAAAAGTTTTGTCGGATATATGTCCGCCCACAGGGGGCGTGGCAAACCGCAAAAGTTTATATCTCCTAAAGTATAATAGCTAGAAGCTTCAAATTTGGATAGTTGAGTTACTGGTAGCCTCCTCTATCGATTCCCCAAAAATAATTTTTACGCCTCTTTAGGGGCGTGGCATATCGAAAAATACCCTGTAATTTTCACATTTTTTGAGGGTAAGCAACTGCAACGTTCTTACTTGTTTTTTTTAGATTTTTACCGACTGCATTCTTTAAATTAAAACAAGTAAGAACGTTGCAGTCGGGCGTTACCGACTGCGGAATACTCATTCACATCCCATCAACAATTTAGTAGTTAAGTTTCGCTCTAATACTGTAGAATATACTGGTTTTTCCGATTTGCCACGCCCCAACTGGGCGTAGACACCTCATTTTTGGTCAGTTTTTAGAAAGAGATAACGGTACCCTAACTGCAAAGTTTGAAAGCTTACCCTCAAAAAATGTGAAAATTACAGGGTATTTTCCGATATGCCACGCCCCTAAAGAGGCGTAAAAATTATTTTTGGGGAACCGATAGAGGAGGCTACCAGTAACTCAACTATCCAAATTTGAAGCTTCTAGCTATTATACTTTAGGAGATATAAACTTTTGCGGTTTGCCACGCCCCCTGTGGGCGGACATATATCCGACAAAACTTTTTGGTCTTGGGTGATCAGTCCGAGTATATATACAAAATTTGAGGTCTTTGCCATCAATAGTGTCCAAAATATAGCAGAATTTAAAAAATCACTATATCTTCAGGTCCGATTTGCCACGCCCCCAATGGGCGTAGACTTATAATTTATCTTCAGACTTTATAGAATCATACCATTAGCTGACGTGCAAAATTTCAGCATTCTAGGTTTACAACTTTAGGAGATACAGTTTTATCCGATTTGCCACGCCCCCAATGGGCGTAGATATATCCGCCATAGCTCGTGATCTTGGGTGGTCAACGCGGACCTACATACCAAATTTCAGCTTTCTAGCTCTTTAACTAACATGATTTCTGGTATATCGGAAAATGCATTTTTCGATTTGCCACGCCCCTAGTGGGCGGATCGGGAAAATTTTAACACTTTATAAATCGGAGATATACACGAGTATGTGTTCCAAATTTCAAGTCTCTAGCTTCAATAGCGCCGAAATAGATTGCGTTCATACGGACAGACGGACAGACGGACGGACAGCAAGACGGACATTGCACAAAACCAATATACTGATTCACTTTCGTGAATGAGTATAAAAATGACATTTGGCTTGAAATAAATATTTAGGGGTATCATAGATGTGGGAGAAAATAACTAAAAAAAAAATTTCTGTTCAACTCCAGATCTGTATTATCTGTACTATTTCTTTTTAAATTTGTTAACAAATTGAAATAGATAAGATCTATCATATACAAAGCTTGACAGACTTTCCCTTAGGGTGAACTCTGTCTGAATAAACGCATCAACTATACGTAGACTATACAAACTAGGCACTTGAAATTTAAAGGTAGGCCACTAGAATACGAAGCTTGAATACCACCAAAGCTGGCATGAATTTACCGAGCTGTTTTGTATGGTAGATACACAGAGTACAAAATTGATTTACTAAATGAAAAAATGATTCATATATTTTTCAGCGTAGAAAAGAATATATTAAAGCCTCGAGGAGGCTTTTGGAGGTGTAAGTCCCTGGTGAGCATTTTTTAACTCTCTTTTGAGCTCCAATCGGTGGCACTTGACAAAAAGACGCAAAATTTTCAATAATTAATAATTTTTTTAATTACATTTGTTTTAAGTAAATCACACTATTAAACACATTCCTTTTCGAGTAGAAATTGATATATATAATCTATCCTTTCTTATTGTTGCAGTTGAAAAAGGGGAACATTGGAGTGATTCGCACAGTGCCCTCTCCAGGTCATTTCCGGCCATACAAGCAATGGATATAATTGGAAAAGATAATTTACTGAATCCATTTAAAACCTCGTTTCAAATATCACAATCAAATTTACAATACCCCTTGAAGCTATCAATACCTCCATATTTGCATCACTTTATAAGTGTTCAAGGTACCTTGATTACGCATTTTACAATAAGCAACTAGTTAATTCTAAAATATTGTATTGAAGGAAAACGATTGAGAAAACAAGGGATTGATCGGAAGCCGCGGCAGGCCTACAGCGCAAAGCAGTTGGATCGGTTAGAAAGCGAGTTCAAGGCGGACAAATACCTTAGCGTGACAAAACGTATGGAGCTCTCGAAAACATTGGGGCTCACTGAAGTTCAAATTAAAACCTGGTTCCAGAACCGCAGAACCAAGTGGAAGAAGCAACTGACATCTCGACTGAAAATAGCCCAAAGGCACGGATTATACAAGTGCGACATGTACTTCTCAGCGATATCAACTCCAGCAGTCAATTCAGCAGCCTGTCCAAGCTTCCATCCCGCGTTTTATGCCGACCCCCAACTATGCTTTTTAAAACCATTTTAATTTAAATAAAATTTAAATGACAACTAAAATGAAACTTTAGTAATAATAAAAAAAAAAATTCAAAAATCGTAGTACAAACAAAATTGATATTATTTTTTGGTCCAAGGTATATATCCTATACGGGAAATCCAGTCTCAGATGAATCCAGACAGAGCCCGGTAGTACTCACTAGTACACCCAATTTTGGAAGCAGTGGTGTTACTCGTTCTGGTGGTAAAAAGATGTCGCCGCTCAAACGTGGTTATTAAGAGAATGAATTGATAACGCATTTCGATATTCAGGAAGCGCTTTTAAGGAGCTTTACATATTTTGTTTTCCGGACTGTTTACTTCAAAGATATAGATATAAATGTGTATTGTTACATTATGAAGAAATACTTGCTGTTTGAATTATGATTAATATATTTAAAACCTATTTTCGGTACCATATTGGAAGTGAGTGAATTTTATTTTATATATTAAAATGTATTACACAATAAGAAAAGAAATGAATTAACTTGAAATTATTGTTTTTCGTCCTCTTCCAGCTTTAGCTAAGTGCAGACCTCAAACACCTGACTTACTCGTTTGATTATTGAATAATAGTCATCGGATGCTCGTGCTGCCAACCAACTGGTTCCCAAGCTGTGGTGGTTATATAAAAATGTTGATCAGATTAGAAAGTTAGTATTGCGTAGACTTTTATATAAAATATTCCTAAATATTTTACTAAATTTTTATTTACGATACAAGTATAATCATTGGGGTAAAAGCAGTTTCTTACAGAGTAACTAGCTAAAAAGACCTAAGTTATATTTTTCTGTCCACTATTATCAGCCATATAATTGTACCACATGAGAAAAGGCTTGTGTCTATGCCATTTTCAGGTAGTGTTATATATGTATATACACACAGTTGAAGAACAATATTTTAAAGTTATATACCTATGTATATATGAAGACTGGCAATAAGTTCAGAACTTCAGATTTAAATTTAAATTGTTAGATCTAACGGACATCAAAATAACTTTTACTTTATGTGGAAAACTGAATTTTTTTGGAATACCAAGTACATCTTTCCTACATAATAACATTCTCAATCTTATCTCAATAAAAATATATGAGATGATGAAGGTAGATAACAAGAGGTTTATATAATACGGGAGACTGAGATGCCACCATCTGACTGTAACATGCTGGTGCTCGTTATTTGGTTCACAATATTTGTATACAATATTAAAAACTCAACAAACCTGTAAAGTATTGTCCATATTTTTTGTATTTTTCTCAATTTCGTATTGTTAGCACCGTATCGGCATAAAAGTTGAAAGTAATGTTTCATGTCGACATTTTTGTTTCCACTTAGGTATAAGTGGTCAATTGTCGTCAATAAAGTTTGAGTCAGTTGATTTGCCTGTAAATACAATATGCAAATGTACTAAAATTAAATACTTAACGTAATTATTATAATAATATATTCATAAAAATCCAAAAAGTATAACTGATGTCAATTAAACTGTTTACTGACTATAACAAAATATAATGTTTTTCTAATGATACATACCCCCACTAATATTGACAAACTTTCTGGAGCAGATCGTTTCCTCCTTCGTATCTCTTCTGTCCCGTCACTTGGTTCAACTGATTCCGTTGCCTCCATAGGTAGCATCATTAAATTACTTGTATCCTCTTTATTCTAAAATTAAATTACATAGAATAATTCATTAATGTTCATGGATGCAGAGAAAGAGAGACTAAATATTAAAGTTAACCAAGTATATACATATATATATATATTAAGAGACAAGTATATAATATATATTAAGAGACATTTTAGATCTTTTTTTGTTAAACAGTATTCTTAAGAAATTACTGTCTCCAATTTAAATTGATGACTTAAAGATTCCACTTACCATAGTGATGCACATAAGAACCTGTAGTATAAACATCCCAAAAGACAGAAATGCGAGGGTCGTTAAAGCGATGTCCGTGATATCTTTTAGGCTGATTTCCTTAATTTGTTTTGCAGGCTGTGACATAGCTGATTCGGGTGGAGCGTGATGTACTCCATGGTCCTCAAAACCTGATTCATATCCTTGAAGCATTTTACTATGTATTTTACTATGTACAAATATATGTTTTGAAAGTCTTACCACTTTTGTCAATTTGTTTAATTGGAGCACCAGTCTTTGGAGCTTTCATTAATATTCGTGGCGTTTGTGATATTTTAAAAAGATTGGGCTATAGAAAGAAATGTTAATTTAACCATCAAATATGAATGCTTCAGTTATTATGGTTCTTTAGCTATTATAGTTTATAAGTTTAATAATAATAATAATACTACTACTAATAATAATTATATAGATATATATGATTCCAAATGAAGGAGTATGTATCCTATAATAAATGAATTAATAATATGAAAATATTTCCTCATATCTAATGAGAAGTAACGTATTGATCGATAGTTGATGACACACATTCTTAATTCTTAATCCCAATTACCAATACTCAAAAAGATTCATTTTTAAGGGAGCTCTATGCAAATGATATTTTAGAGTACTTATACTTGAGAGGAAAGTGCAATAGAAGATGGCACGATTTTTTAAATCTGTTTCTTTAATTGAGACGTTTGGTGCCTTTGAAACGTTTTCTTGGCATGGAGTATTAAATTCCATGCAGCTTTAACTGCCATACGAAATGAGCCATACTCTAATATATTTAGTGAAGTTGTACTCTGATATAAATTGACGCACTTCAGAAATTAATATATGAATAACTTAATTTGTCGCTAATCATATCACTTTAATAACTAATTCGAAAACGAGTAAGGTTAACTTGCATTAAAATAGTTGCTGTCATTATAAGAACTGTCGTATGCGTAGCCCGTAATGTCGCCAGAGTCGCTATCTTCGTCTGCCTCATAGACCTCCAAAGTTGATTTTGCAGCAGGATCCAACATTTGTCTTCGAACTGGACTATCGACGTTTTTTAAATGGTTTGCTGCATGATTTAACTGATGTTGAATATCGTCCAGTGTTGTTGTTCTATAAGGAAAATTTTACGTAGTTATAAGTATTCAAGTGAACAAAATGACAGATTGAACCCGAGACTATAAAACACAGAGAACGAAGAGTCATAAGTTGGGGCATTCAACATTCCTACCTTAACCAAGCATTATATCTCGTAGAACCATCGTCGAAGAGTAACGAATGATTATCTTCATTGAATAAATTTGATTTATTCTGAAATTCGCCTACTCGTCTGTTAATCTTTTGTTTATATCGATCTGCATTCAAATGCATTATCTGCTTAGTTAGGTAGTCGGAAGCCATGAACTGCTGCATCATTTTTCTAGAATTAGAATTATAATTAGATTCATATTAATGTTCAATAATAAAATTTAAGGGACCGTAGTTCTTTTTTACCTGTGATAGTTCATTGTAGCTAAGGCAGGCGTAAAGTCAGTTGAGTAGTTTCTTTTTATTGTTGGACTGAACTCATAAACAAATATGTGGAACGGCATCATTTGAGTGTTCATAATATCATTTACACTAAAATCAATCCCGTCATTCGCATTTGCCCGGGAGAGGTGTATAACGGCAAAATATAACAAACAAATTTTCATTGTGTGTTCACTTGCAACACTTTTCCTGAAAGTCATTTTCAGACTGGCAGAAACTGGTAGAAATTCAGCAACGTACTGGCACCAAGAAGCGTTAACCGTAATTACGAGTTGTATTTTCTAGTTGTTTACACCCTGGCTTTAACATACATGTGTAAGGCGGGTATCACTGGAAAGGAGCTAGAACACCTTTAAACACCTCATACATTCCCCAATTCAGTTGAGAGAAACTTGAGCTAATTCAATGGCCAAATCACACTCTCCTTTCTCGAAGTCCTCGTAAGCTTTAAGAAGTAATATTTACTCAAAACATTATCTTATGGAAATAAGAACAGTTTATTTGAAATTTCATTGTAGTGTCGAGCCAACTCACTAAATAATTTTTTGTGGGTCAAAGTAAATCTCCATTTCATTGTCCGTCAACCTAGATGCTGGGTATTCTCCTAGTCGGGCACTCTTAAAGAGAGCACTGTCAACTCTTTTTTGTTGACGTTGATCAGTGAATTACTTTTTCTGCTCTATATAAACTGCACTTGTAATGAGCATATATGTATGTGTACAGATATGTATGTATTGTGTATATATTCATAAAAAATGTTTTCCACTTACATTAATACTCAAATATCTTCAAGCCAGGAACATTTCTCTCATTCTTATTCTGTTTTCTTTTTATCACTATATTTTTGCCTTTTCTTGCTAATATTTGACTAATTAATTATTTTAATTGTAATATTTAAGATTCTTGAAACTAGCTGGGCGGTCTAGCAAATAAAATACTACCATCGAGTTGTTAATATTATTGTAATAACATTCTGGCTATTTAATTATATTTTTTAGTTTTACCTAAGCTTGACTCACACTTTGTCAATACATCTTAAAAAAATATTATATTGTTATTATTTTTGTTGGTTAAAAATTAAATTTTACTCACTCTAATATTCAGATTATTTTAAAAATATTTTTGGTTTATAATTTATATATATTTTTTTCTCATAAGTTAGCTACTTATATCAAATTTAACGAAATTTGGTCATTTCCAAATATATCCATTTATTTTGACTAAGCTCCAACATAATCAATGGAATATGAGGATCATCGGCATAGGAATTCTGTATGTAAATATAATAATTATTATTTGTTATGTCGGACATTTAAGCCAACCTTTTTGAATATTTAAATAGTTAATAAGTACATATTCGAAGAACTGGTCGAAAAGTGTTCGTTGTGTCAATATTTTTACTTTGAGTGTAGATATGTAAATGTGCATAATTATTAGCATAAATTAATGATCTTGCAATAAATATTTATAAACAGCCGTTTCGACTTTATAATATTCGTTCATGCTAAAAAAAAACAGCCGAAATACCTTGTGTTATTTTATACAATCTTGACGGAGTCTGAAAAGTGAATCCTTAGAAGATATAACTCAATTTAATATATTTTTACGAGTAATATGTTATGCACCAAGTCAGTTTCTTGTTCAGCTTACAAAATTTCACCGACAATTCATTTCTCTACAACCTTAACCTTTCGGCATTATTATTATGCCTATAATAAAAAACCATTATCATCAGGGTCGAATTCGAATAGCTTAATAGCTAGTTGCTGTTATATATTGTTTCATCTCGTCAGTCTCTCTCAGCAAAGCCATCCTAAGATTTTCTTATATTTATAATTCATTTCTAGCTTCGGTGGCCTTTTTGAAGCCTGAAGATCTTAAATAAAATAAACGCAAAATGTGTTAATAATTTTAAATTTCAACTTTATTAAGTAACAAATACTTTAAACTAACGTTATATCTTATTAATTGTAATGTTAACTTTCTATTTCACATTTTGTATGCTAACGTAAAGTATACAACACGCTTGAATTCTTCACAAAATGAAATGTAGTGTAGTTTAAATGGCGCCCTGACTACAGTTTGCTGTGAAGTATAAACAGAATCAATTACGAATCGTCATATCATTTTACTATAGAAATCAATTTAGCTTGTATCGTGTTGGGAATATGTAGGTGCACATGCATATGCATATAGTAAATACATATGCATATGTATTCTAAGTATAAATAATAATTTGTGCCTACGGGGTTTTTAAACACGTCTTAAGTGCTTGCAAGAACTCGTGAATGATATATGTATGGTATGTGTATATGTATATACACATTTATAGCTTTAAGTAAATCATAAGTAACATAATTTATCAATTGACCTGTATATCGTCTAATTGCTAATTGGCATTTTTTATATGATACGAATGAGCATGAGAAGGCATATCCACGCCCATTGGAGTTATCAAATGAAATGAAATATATTTTTGATAAATTTAATTAATAATTCAAATTATACATAATCATATAACATATAGAACATTAGAATAGAACCTATAATATGTAGTTTAAAAGCTCCATGTTTAATTTAAATAAATACTAAACAAAACTGTTGCTCAAGCAAAAATTTTCTTATTTCCCCAATGATCGATCTATTCATGGTTCGTTTCGATATCGATCCCGGATTATTCAGAGTGATCGCACAAATGGATTATTTTTAAGCAGATATGCCTCGCTCTGCATTTGCCCAGACCCCGAATGGGTGAGAACAAATAAACTAAAAAAATGACTTTATTAAAATATAATTAAATAATAGGAGAAATAAATATGTATTCTAGACTTTTTATAATTTGTAATACGTTTTGAGTATTGAATAGCTTTAACAGTACCGTTTTCTACTAATATAGCCGTGCTAAATTTTCCTTATGTTTCAGACTAATATTTTCGATCAGAACTTAAATATAATGTTAATGTTAATGTTAACGTTGTTTTTCGTTGATAAAGCGTTGCATAGATAACAGAATTAGGTTTATAGCGACGAATTTAGTTGATTTTTTGATTCAGGTTTAGACAAACAGGAAAACAGAAACAAATAAAAAATAAATTGAAAATGGTCTGTAAGGGTTTTAGACAGTATTGGCATAAAATCGCTATTGCGCAGGTCTACAACGTCCGGCTGAAGTCCCGGAAAACTCCAAGTCCTTCTGCTCGATTATGGGAATCCGGTCATCGTACAAGGTTGGCGCTTGCAAGATGATGCCCGCTGTGCCCGCCAAGACAGCCAGTGTGAATATCCAAAGAAAGAGCCTATCCAATACCATTGCGACATACTTCCAGTCTTCTTTAACCTTCCAATCGCATATAAACAAAATAATATTATTAAATTCTATTTTTATTTTAAATATTTATTTGACAACTTACTTTAGTGGAGTCCTCTTGCATTTTGGTATGCTCTGCTATGAAACGCACACAGAAACAACTGCGATGCACTCGAGGTGGGCATTTTGAGTGAGAAAAAGCTGGATTGTTCAATATTGGACTTTTAATTCCAGAATTTCCAGTATCTAAATCAGGGACGGCAGTTAAATCATCTGAGCTCGAGTGCGTTAGTTGAGGCAAGGGTCCATGGACTTGGCAACTGCCTCCAAAAGGTCCAGTGCTGGTTAAACTAGAAATTTTCAAATACATACAAAATAAATAGGTTAGTACTTACTCTAAGTATTTCCTTAATTCATTTCCTCCAAGTATTTAGAATTTCTTCTATTTTCCTCAATGCATTTTCCTCTACGTATTTCCTCAACATATTGACTCCAAGTCATGAATGCTTAGCTAAACAATCACAGACTTCACTTCACTTTTCGCTATCCTGCACCACTCACCCCCACCAGGTCTAGGCGACTGAAGAAATACTGCAGCTGTCTCCCTTTATATAGGGCAACTTTCACTCAGCAACTAAGTCCCACTCAAATGTTGAACCCGGTGACAGGTAGAATCATTGCAGTTGAGCTTTAACTGAGCAATGGGAACACTTTCCGCTGCACTCTCGCTTCGATTTACTCAACCACAAATACCAAATGAACATACTTAAAGACGACTTAAATGATATTCTGTAGCTCTTCTTCGTCTCTTGCTTTTGTTAGGCAAATTGACGGAGAAGCAGACTGTGAGGACAGAGAGACAGATATACAGTCAGACAGATCTATAGCCAAACAAATCGGATTTCCTCTTTACGCTGCTCAAAAATATATAAGCGTGATATGGACAAATGTTTATTAGGGGATCTCCTAGTCGGGCAACCCGACTAGAGTGATTTTACTTGTAATGTGTAAGTAAAGTACAAAATTCGATTTTGGAACTTTATGATTTAGGAAAAAATAATGCTCTTGAAAGACTAAACCAACAAGACAAGAACTTAATGAATTTTGAGTCAAATAGACTTTAAATTACCTCTGAGTTGTTAATTCTTCCTTGGAGGCTGTGTGGCTATAACCCGAATTTACAAGGCGATCAATATTAGTTGAAGAGTAATACGGATAAAAGCATGCGTGAGCGTCCTTCAAAAGCAATTTGCTGCAATTTTTAACCAAATATTAATATGCATGAAATTTAGTTGCTTAAGATAATCTGAGTTGCTATTATTTTTAAAGATTATTTGCAATAAAAAAAAGCGGCTCATTATAAATATCTTTGACCATTATTTATAATAAATGAAAAAATAATAAATTAAGTAAATTAATTAATAAGTACGTAAGTAATATAATAAGTGAATATTAACTACTAGGATTAAAAACCTCTTTTTTTTGGGCCGTGAGCGAATATTATGCAGTCAGCTGTGCGAAATTGCATAATAAAGTAAAAGTACTAAATAAATATTTACCTTGTTTCAAAGTTATATGTTGGTCTCTTTATGAAGAGAAATTTAGGCAAAAAGTTAATGAACAGACGTTTGACCCACGGAGCCATCCTGTGGGTTTGCGGAGACCGAAAATGAACGTTCAGCACGACAACTGTCACACAAATACTATAGCAAATATACGAACTTTAGTATTATATATCATTTATTATGAAAGCCACAGTTTACCTTATAGAAACCAATATCATCGCAAATATCAGATATTTGCCCAACAGTGGTACAACCAACGATGTTGGCGGAATGATTTCCACGACCAGAAGAAAGAACACGTGGAGACTAATGAGAATCGAAATGGACAGAGTAACCTGAAATTTTCAAATATGAATACATAATATTAATAACATTTAGTAATGCTAATCCTAATGGTAAAATAATGTTAATGTTAATAGTTTAAAAATAATAAGATTATATTAATGTTGAAAATATAGATCAAATTTATTTTAGATAATTCCACAGCCTCGACATATTTTAATGAAGCAATTATTAAATAAATTAGGTAAAAATATTTTTGTATCATCCATATATAATATTCAAATAAATATTATATAGTTTTATTCAAATATATTTTGGATTTGATAGTAAAACTACATACCTTTTCTCCACTATCAGAAGGCAAGTAGAAAGTCAGTACGGTTAGAAATGAAATACCCATACATGGTATTATAATGTTAACTGTGTAAAAAAGAGTCTTTCTTCGCATGGTAATGTTGAACGTTATATCCAAGTACGGCTCATCGCAACACGTATAAAACTTTTCATTCCTAATAAACAAAACAAAGATAATATGTTATGTTAGAATATGTTAAATTTAGAAATTTTTAAAATTGTCAGCGTCGATTTAAGTCATCAAATATATTTATAAATATATTATTTTCCTGAATGGTTTCGTTTTATGTTATTTGTTAACAGATAAAAAGCAAATATAGCTTTACATTCGAAACCATATATTATCATAAAAGTGCTTATGGAATATGCAAATCAAGAGAAATTAAAATTCAGATTGTCAGTCATCCATCCAGCATCTCCGAGTGCTTGAATAATGTAAATATTGTATAAGGGTGCGTATGAAAGCTTACCGAACTGCCGGAACTTCTAAAATGTCCCATTCGACAGACATGTAGAACTCCGATAGATCTACGCCTACGTCAACAATGTTGCTGCCCTGCTGCTCGTCCATGTGTCTCAGGTCCACCTAAAGAACAAAGTGAAATAGTTGTTTCAATGGCCGAATACGAAAATGTAAAACAGAAATACAGTTAAATGTGACATATTTGAAATGCAGAATAGCGGTGCACAACCCATCGATAGCGGATAGCACCCATGGAATTGGAATTGTGTTACTACTATATGCATAAGTATAATATGAACACTTTTTAGTAGATTTCAACGATATCGAGGGCTTGTGTACCACCCTTTTCGGATGTATAAATGTATGTATATGAGTTATAGGGATATTGAACAGAAACTGACGACCAATAAGGAATATTCTTGTATTATGACTATAATTCAAATTGGCTACTAAACGAATATCATGCGATTAATTTTAACTAAAATGACTAAATCAAACTTAACGGCTTTACTTAACAGAAAAGTCTTCAGTATCTTTCTAATTCATTAAGACGAACACAAGGAAGTCGGGGATGCAACTTGAATCAATATTACACATCTCAATATACACACACATGCACGTTGTTATCCTATTTATGGCATTTATTTTACACTGTATAAATAATAAATATTTTTCGTATAATGACTTACAAAACTCTCTTGAATCGTAATATTCGTTATATCTGTCACACTTAAGATTTTTTACAAGTGATTCAAAAAACTCAAAAATGGAAACAGTCTCAGCATGCGGTTTTGAAGGACATGCACTCATATGATATATATTCATATGATATGGTATAAGATTTTAAAGTCCTGCAATGTGTAGTTCCGCTCTTTGCAACTTCTTTATTCATGTTTACATCTTTGAATTATCTTAAAATTTCTAGGTATATCTTAATTTTAATTATATTTTGTTGTTTAACAAATTAAATTATTGTCTTAAGTAAGTACTAGTTTTACTTAAAAAGATTCTTCAGACATGTCATAGACATTTCAATGTCTGCAATGCATGGAAACTCATCGCAAATCCTAAGTGCACCTGAAAAAAATGTTATTTAAATGTTAAAGCGACTATTCCACCTCCTCTGAAATCGGCTTAAGATGTGAAAATCCGTAAGAAATTGGTAACAATAAAACAGTCGGATGCAACCGACCATATAATACCCCGTTCACAGTCAGTAATCACATCATTAATCAAATTATAGTGCTTTCATTGCTTGCTTCAAGGTCGGAGATCAAAATAGACATAAAACATATGAAATATAGATTTTACATGAAGTGAACAGAGCAAAAATATTGTAGAAAATACAAATATAATAGATTACCTGGAGTCTGTGTTTAGCAATACGCTCATGAGGTGAGCGCGGTCGAAGTTTTCGAAACACGAGCTTGCATAGCAAGGGTTTAACATCGTGTGTCCACATGGAGCACTTATATTAGAGTAAAGTATGTATTTCTTAAAGAAAATACACGTAATTTTAAAATAAAGGTGATACATAGTCATTGAAAATAAATAGACAGAAAGCAATAGTTAGAAATTATATTGTATATCAAAAAGTGATTTAAATAAATATGAATAATTAATCCACGCAATAAACCTGCAATCAAATATCTTCTATTTGAGAGATTTGTAAGCCAAACATTATTTCGTCCTTATGGAAATCCACTTCAAATCAGCTCAGCTAAGACTTTATGAATTTTGTTCAGTTTAACAGTTTAACAAGATTAGAGAGAATGCAATCGAAGCAAATCAGGTATACGTTGGACAGCGGATATAAAATATATTAGTCTTATCGACAATTGTTGCATGTCCAACCTATGATTATAATCTTTCTCATACCTAATAGATATATCCTGTTATTTACTTGCATACAGATGATGCCATGAGAGGAGAAAAGCTGCTGCTCATAATGAATACAATACATATATATTACTTCCTGATCAGGATAATGAAAAATAAGATAGTCAACCACAACGACACAGAGCTATTAGTAATGGATTCAAAATAATGTTTATTATGAATGTTTTACACTTTGAACCACAGTCGGTTAGTTCACAATATCTCCTAATTTAAAAAATAAAAATAATATTTGCACATTAGAAATATTTAGTTCAATATGAAATTGTAGTAAAAGTATAAATGTCTAAATTTTCTTTTCCCCTCATTTATGACTAAGAACCCTATAGCTTTTCACTTTTATAACGTATGTTGGCTTCAAGCACGCTCTCAGAGTCCAAGACTGTGTGAAGAGCTGAGCTCATCAGCTAGTGGCAAGCAAAATGGAAGATACCCGATTATATATTCTAATTTATCGAAGCAAACAAATTTTTAATAAAAAAAGGTTTTGATATTTCTCTCTAATCCTCTACTTATTACTTCCATATTTTCTTTACTTTATGCCTTTACGTCCAGAAAATACAATTACTCGTCAGATGTCTATTTTCCATTAACAATAATCTGATTTAAGTACAAGAAGATTACTTGCAAAATTTCGCCAATTGTAAAGATTTTAAACATTTTCCATATGATGGCAGCCTCATCAACTTGAGATCACGAAAATACCAATTTTAATTTCAACAAGCTAAAAGAAATAATTCAAATAAATTTGAGTTGTTCATTATATTAAGTACAATAATAGTTGGAAAGTAAAAATATATTTAAGTGTATTCTGCCGCATAACTTATCAGTTTTATTTTAATTTAGCACTTAGTATTATAAATTATAAAATGCCATTTGCGAAATTATTCCATCAGTAATTTTATCAAACGAAAAAACTAAAAATAATAGAATAGAAACTAAATATAATATGGTTGACAAAGACTATTCTGTAGCCATCATAATATTTTATATTTGCAGAATACTGAATTAACTTTCTTCAATAAATGATCGTCATATTATTATTACAATCATGTTATTGATTCAAATTTTTATTTTTTAGCATTAATGAAATTAAAAGATTACTTTTAAAGACTATTACTTATAGGCTTTCGCAAAAGTAATCTTAATGAGGCGGTGGCCAGGCGTAGCTGCAGTGAGTGAAGCGAAATAATGAAATTAAGCATACGCATGAATGAACTTCACTGATTTAGAAATCTATAATGAAAGCTGAGCTGAGTTAACTGCACTGCAGGAGATCAACATATCGATAACTAAAGCTGAGCTGTTGACTGCATGCGACCATGCGATGTCATTTGAAGCTAAATAACATTGTAGAGCTCAGCAGCTCTATTCTTTTGATATAGGTTTAGATGATTCCAAAAGTTATTGGGTGGCAAATATAAATATTTATTTATATTTTATAGATATTTTCTTAAATTTATTGAGCTAAGTTTATTGAGCGAGTATCATTCGAATCGTTGCGCTTGACACCATTTTTAATGGAAGAAAAAAATCCTGAATATTAGCTTTATTTACGACCTCTAATAAAAACAAGTTTTCGCAAAACTCAGACATTTTCGATAATTGTAAATAATTGTACAAATATGAAGACGCCTATACACTTTTAGCTAATGGTAGAAATTGTTGTATTTTAACATTCTTCTTTAGATGACCTATTCATGGTTTAAAGCTTATACCTCGATCATTATTTATTATTGCAAAGGTAACGGATATATTTATAAATATATAAATAGATCCTCAACTAACAGTTAGATTCGTTATTTAACTAAACTAAATCAAACTTTTAAAAACAGTTTTTTAAATAAATGTAATCGAAAAACCAAAAAGCTTAAAGTTACAGATGAGAAAGAATAATAATAAATGCTAAATAAAGCAATACGGCATTTGCTTGAATACTCAATGTTTCTCTTGAATATTCAATGAAATATTATTATTTAAAGAGATGTAATGCAAACAATTTGGTGCAGTAACATAAATTAAATTCAAATAATCGGAGACTTATTTAAATGCAATTCATTCAAGTCACAAGCGTTTCAGCATGGCACATAAAAAAAGTTACTCCTTGCAATGTTCCACGTATTTTTATCACTTAAGATACAATTAACAATTCTTTATGTTCATTTTACATGTAAAATTATAAGTTCCTCGCAGTTAACTATGTATATAGTAAATGATTGTTTTAATTAAGGCATTCCATTTAACGATAATACATTCATATTTTTACTAGTCGACACATAGCAGCATGCACAATCGATTTCTATTATTTTTTCATTACACTGAGTAATTTATAAGTTCCCCAACGTAGTTAAATAAATTCAAATTAAGTATGTCAGGCAATAACTAATTCATACAGTCAATACTAGTTCTAGCATGCACAGACTCAAGCAAACGTATTAGATTTCAAATAACAATAGCAATATGGCATATCCTAGCATACATATTCTATATAATTCACGTTTATTTCAAATTAAAATCAAAAGATTATCTGCCCCGAAACTATCAACTGACAATATCGTTTGTCAATGTAAATAAATATCAGTCCAAAGGTTCTGAATGTTTCTGAAATAGTTTTCCGAATAAAAATGATCGAGTTACATGCGGTAAGGAAACCTTTTGTATATATTGCAATTGGAATAAACCTTTATAGTCTAATCACTAGTCAAAAAGCTAGAGCTTGGAGATTTTGCCTTTAGTGAATGCTTCTAATTGAAGACCTATGTCTCATTCCCAGTTCTGAGCCACCTCTATCCATTATCGAAGTGCGTTTACAAGTACTGACAACTGGAAACAGTTTTTATTACAATACATACTTTCGATTATTCAATGCATATAGAAATTAATCTGGAACGTTTGTATTAATATCTATATAGATGGCTATCCATTGAATACATAGGCTACATCCTAATAGGTGTATTCAACGTAATAGTCCAGCCCATATATCGTATTTATTTATACATTTATTATAGAAATAAAGATAGTATACAAAACACGTAAAAGTAAAAACCATGCAACATGCCTTTGCAAGCACAACGATATGGGAGTTCCTTAGTTCATTAGGAATAACAGGCATATTTGTAGTTTACATTTATTTATTTTAAAACATCATGCAGAATAAAATGTGCTTATGAACAAGCTATTCCAAAATGAGATCCCACTCGCAGGCTTCATGTACAAATATAAAGGATATATATCATTCAAGTAATCAAGGGTCGTAACCATTTAGGAATCATACCCGGAAAAACTAAATATCAGTGGTTGTCTGCTCTCTCATTTTTAAGGAAATCCAACTCTTGTTTTCAATTGAAGATTAAGTAATGCAAAACAAAAAAACAAACAACTAGCGTTGGTAGTTAGGATTCAGTCAACAAGTCTCCGAGAATAGAAAAAAAAAATAGATTATATTCAAATTTCGTATAAATAGAAACAGTATTACGATAGCAGAATAGTAGACATTTCTCAATACACTTAGCATCTCCAGGCACATGCTTCAGTTAATAGGATTGTTATATGTATATATTTGTATAGATGTAGGCACGAGAACTAGAACACACAGAGCATGCTCAATATCATTGAATATTCAATTGGAACTAATTATTAAAATACTTTCCGCACAATTATTAATTGATGCTTACTTTTGGCGCGTATACTAAAACATCAATATGCTACGTCGGAAATGTAAAACTTCAAAGTTATATGCGTTTGATATTTGAAATGCATTGTCCAATTTATATAAGAACGGAAAATCATACGTACTTTATGTCATTCCAATTCAATAACTATTACATATTTAAGTATATGCCTTTAAGCTTAGTTGTGATTACATATTGACGTACAATATAAGTGATGTAACATAACAGAAAATGTATCAAATGATTCTGATTTAATAAGATTTGATTAGCACCTTAAAACCATCATAGGTCCAACTTCCTAATTTTAAGATGCACGTCTGCACGTCATATGGAAAATATTCAACATCGATTGAACAAGACGATTTATAGACGGCAGGTGGTTGCCAAATCACCAATCCATTACTATAGACTATTGCTTTTGTCATAAGTGTCACTTCATAATGACCATCAGCACTGAAAGATATATATTTTTAACACAGCTCCTGTTACCAATGAATTGTTTTGCAAGTTAGACTGGCTGTTAATAGGAGGGTAGATAGTATGTCTGTACGATTGTTGTGTAATTAGAGTACATATAGCACATATAGTAGTATACTTAGCAGGTAACCACGAGACAGTCGGATACCGACTGCGCAATACTCTGTTCACTGGGAAAATACAATGCCATCGCTGATTAGTAAGGGGACTCTACGAAAATGGACTAGCACTACACAGGCCAACTAAATTAGGAAACCAAAACTAGTATATCTCAAGTTACTCTAACTCAGATTTGAGTACACTAAAATGTTGATTCTAATAATATAATATTTGAAAATATAATTAATTCTAGGTGTGAGTAAGCGTCAGTATTATACAAGCAAAAAATTGATACTACTTCCCGTTATTTTTATGGATTTTGTATTGTTTATTGATATTAAGTATTTAAAAACCCTATAGAATAGAATCTATTATAGTACAGATGGTTAAAATCTCTTGAATTGTAGTCAGAATCTAGATTACTAAATATTGATGACCTGTGCTATTATTTTCGATACAGTCCACTTGTAATACAGACAACTTTTACTCATTGTGCCGAAAAAAGAATACTATTGTCACAGCTATGACCACCCATAAAAAATCTTAAAAATAATTTTATACTCAAATGCAGCAAAATAAAAACCTTGTGAACAAAGTATTGGGATAGATAAAATGTTTAATATACAAAGACTTATTACAGATTTCTGTGCATCTTATAGATTCAATTCTCTTTAGAGTCCAGTACAAGAATAGATAAGTTTACTTGTACAGTATAAATTATTCTTTGTAATTGCTATTACTAATTAAAACAGTTGCTTTTAGATCAATAAATCCAAACTTTAATACATATGATATAACTATGAAAAATTAGAATATACACTATTTAAACCCCTCGAATTCAGTTAAATTACATTTTGTACAAATATTACTTAGGTACGTACTTATATTTAGATTATCATATTTAGAAAAGAGTTAGACCATTCAGAGCAGTAGGATGTAAGAGATAGTAAACACAATTTGATTTTCAATAATTACTTATGTACATAAATAACAGTTTGCATATATCACTCTTAGACAATAACAATCTCAATATGAGCTTTCCCGGATCTGTAAATGATTGCAGAAATCCAAAAAAAAGTGTAATACAAATCAAGGACAAATTATGTAAGTGTTGCACTTATTTGCACCTTAGAAGATCGTAATGTTTAGAGAGTTAGAGAATTAGGGTTTGTTCATTTATTTATGGTTTTAATATTATTGAAACGTAACAGAACTGATACAAACTTCAAATATGCATAAAAATCAAAAATATATCAAGTCTACGGTAAAAAATCACAATTTTAATTATATGAATATAAATGCGTAATAAAATACAGACATTAAAATTATATACAAAATAATTCATTGCAACTATAAAATATATTTGTTAAAAAATCAAATGATTGATGTGAATGTGGCTTTACTCTTGCAGTAAATTTTTTGCTAAGCTACAATGTGGTTAGCATGGAATGTATTTAGTGGTTACTAAGATGAGCAAAAACTGATTTAATTCTTTGACTCTTCCTTATGAATTTATTATCTGATTGCTATCTTCTTTCTCTAACCTACAACTCTTCGATGATGATTAATTAATAAAGAAAGGGAAACTGAACATAAATGAGTGAGGTCGCTTGCACAGACAGACAATAAATATTACACTCTGGTAGCTTAAAGACTCTGAATCAGATTGATATATCATATATATCAATTTCAACCCAATAATAATGCTGCAAGAGTATCCGATCTTCGGCGGCCTGAAGACTGTTTCACTGATTTCATACATTTAATTAAAAAAGCGTCAATTAAAAGAGAATTCTTTGGAGACAAAATGAGAAAATTGAAATGAAAAATACAGTCTTAACATTTATTAGAAATTTGTACATTACTGAGTTTTGTACGCACAAAATATGATTATTTATGTTTAGTTGCTAATCGGTTTAGGTATTGTATATAAGTGTAGATGTTAATTAGTATACACCCTTGAATAACACAGGTAATTAATCTTAAGAAATAAATAAAATGAAAATATGTGAATTATCAAATCCAGTTTGTCTACAATTCAAGTTTTAAGTTACTATTGGGATTACAATAATATAAATATGATCTAAAAATAAGAACTCATAATATTGAGTATACGATAAAAATATGAAATGGCTTCATTCAATCAATGCCAAAGAACTTTTGCGTAGTCGGAAAACAGCTCAAATTAAAAGATAGAGAGAGAGAGGTATACCGTGTTATTTAAGGGTTTCTTGTGCTTATTTATTCAGATGCGATAAATGCTAGTTTGGTTGGCAACGACTTATATGTGAAACTCAAATCATAATTATTTGGTAAACGTGAATTTTCGTGATTGGAAAATTAAAAGGAAGGGCTGTTTTATGAATCGTGCGTGCGTTTAGACAAACCTACCTTGAACCCATCATAAGTCCAACTGCCAAACTTTAGAACACAAGTCTGTTCATCGAATGGGAAATACTCTACGTCTATCTCACAGGATGACTTGTATATTGCTGGTGGTTTCCATTCAACTAATCCTTCAGAGTAAATTGTAGCTTTTGTTGCAAGAGTCACTTCGAAGTTACCATCGGCACTACACAATATCATTATTTGTTTTGTTTGTTCAATATTAATTCGTAAATAATAATAAAATACAGTTTTTTAAATATTTATTCATGTGAAATTGTTTGATAATTGAGCTGGACGATTAACTTCAATATTCACGAGCGGGCTTCAATTTTTATGTGATTGTTAGTCTGTATTCCATATTATACTTAATTATTAGTCATTTTATTTGGTATTTGATATGCTTAAAAAGTTTAAAGTATGTTTAAATATTATGAGTTTCTTTTAAAACCCAAAGCCACCATTAAATCATAGCTCATTGTTCAAACTCTTTCCTGCCTATCTTATGATTTATTGCGTTAGTAAGAACGATTTTCCAGATTTGCGCGTTTAAAGAACTACCCCAAAAAATAGAAATAAATAGTATTACCTCCAATTCAAGCTAATATTGACTCCTTTAACTTAAAAAAAAAAAAAAAGGTGATCGATGGACAAAGCCAATTCGACTCGGCTGTTGATCCTGTTCACAAATATATTTCCTTTTTGGTTTCACCCACGCCCTATATATTGAATACATGCTAACAAAATCATCACACTGATCAATAGCTTAACAATCTATAAATTAGGAAATATAATACCGTCTATATTATAAAAACATATCACAGACGACTTAGGAAACAATTTTATGAATTTTTTAATATGTGAAGATCATTTCTGTTTATGAAATCTCTACCTGAAAATGTAGGAAACTCAGGGAATAAAAACTAATCGCGGTATTGGTACAATTAAAACTTATTATTAATATAATAACTATATTTATCAGCTCATATGAAGTGTAAAACTAAACTAAAGGATCTGTTCTTCTCTTATGTCAAAAATTGTCAAATAATTGAAGGATTGTGACATCTATTAATTCATAATTTTATTATTTCTATTATATTTATGAATGATTTGCATTTTAATAATTGTTATTTTATGCTCGGCGGCATAGATTATTGCAAAAAAAATATCGGAAATAAAGAAAAATTATAAAGGGATATTATTTTTGGACGAATCAAAATGAATTCGAATCGAAGAACACAGAAGTTCAGATACGATGAGACGCGGTGTGTAATATTTTCAGTATCTAACAGCTTCAGCAATGCTGAGATAAAACTTCGGATGAGTATCATAAAAAGATTATCTTACGTCTGCAAGAGTAGTTGAGCATCGATACACCAAATAATTATTGACTTATGTCTCTTTTAACACATTTAAAAAAAAATTTTTACTGCGTGATGCTCTGACTTATGCTGGTAGTAATTGAAACTTGTTTACAGCGTATGGACATACTAATGCTAATTTATGTGTTCTTGTACTATTCCTAGACATAAAAAATATATATATATTATTTATATATAATGAATATGTATATGTATATATATATTACAGCCACTGAAATATTAAGCCGTTGTCAGGTTGCTATCTTGTTACTTACTTATTATAAAGTACAATATCTGGCCTCCAAATGTGATCGGATGGAACGTGTAGCATATGAACTCCCCCATATTCTTTGGGCTCCCACCTTAATTTGTAGTCGTACCATGACTGAAATAAATATAATTTATGTTTAGCTATATGTAACAATAACCCACATTGTATATAAATACAATATGAACATGCTAAATACACATATTAAGTATATATATTAAATGTTTTACTTTCAATGAAGATGTTTTTAATTTTTAATAATAGGTCAGTCAATGTACAAAACATGACAGAGAATGCCTCTCATTTAATTTCACATTTGTGAAGGTCCCTTATTCTATGGCACTCTAAGCGATCTAAGCGATATGACTATTATAAGACGAATGAGATGGAACCATGCCACCGGTCTCTTTTATAAAATCTCTTAACTCAGCTTACTCTCCCACATATACATGTATCTGTTCTTAACGATGTATAAATATGTTAAAAATAGTTTTATATTCTCACCTGTTCCACCCAAAGATTCGTAGTCATGATCTGGTTTTTAAGATTCTAAAATAGGGGAAAATTTGATTAGTAAAAAGATTCAGGAAAAAATATGGTTAATACATAGATAATAATAATAATAGGTTCGTCGAATTTGAGAACTGATTTGGTTAGAAATTTGTCACATTGTGAACAAATTTATAGAATGAATAATGACATCTATAAGGTACATAGGGAATTCGCTCAAACACCGATCATATTCCCGTGGGGTACGACACTTTGATGGGATCAGCTTATTACCGATCTGTTTCCCACGTTCAATATTAATAATAGTATTCTATATTTTATGTGTGAATAGTAAAATTCCAAAATTCATATTGATAAAGTGTGGGATGTATAAATAGAATACTTACAACATCTATCAGCTGCGAAAGCTTAAGTTTTATACAAACTTTGAGGACATCTGTAGTATTAACCACTGGGCGTACTAGTTTGTTGTAGTTACTTAAGAGATCATCGTAAAGGCGTTTAGCATCCGGATTGCCTGCAACAGCGCCGTGTACCATCAAAGCTGATAGTATCCAAGCTTTGATGCTTTCTTGAGATGTTAACTTCATTGCTATTATTTCGATTCACCACAATGTATACTTCAAATTTATATTTGTAATATTTATAATTACATTTAATTAAATATAATGTTTGGTATTGCTTTATTTGGTAACATTTTTATAGCCTATTAAGAAAAATACGTGAAAAAATTTATATTAGAAAATTTTCTTCTTTAAATATGCATATATAATTTAAAGAATTAAATTGAAGGACTACTTTGAAGAGAAGAATATATGTATGACAGAACGGATACGCTCATAACGCCCATAAAAAATGGAATTAGCAATTTGAGCATAATTTGTTTCTTAATATATACATAATTTGTGTGGCTGACATACATTCTTGATTAGAAGTAACGACCCTAGTCATCCAATCATGTGCCTATGTTTGTCAGTCTGTGCGTCTGTCCTTGCAGGCGTCGATCTCGGAATCTCTGAATACTTGATATTTGGAATTACATATGCCCAATTCAAGTATATGTCATATGATCGATAACATGTCCTCGAATGAATCTATATACATTTGTTTACATTAGAAGAACTTATATTAAGAATGCATCAAATATTTAAAATATATTCGAAGATTCTTAACTTGTATATATTGTAGCTCCTTCATTTTCCCCTAAAAGGCTTTTATATGCAAGTGAGTGAAGTCACATGTTCTTTTGTTTGTATGTGTGTGTGTGTATTTATATTGTATATATCATAGCTTAGTTTCTTTGAAAACTAACATATTTCTCGATAAGGCTATGCCCAGAATATTTTGTACGTATCTCTAGGTCAAACTGAAGCACTTTCACTAATTTTATATTTTATGGATACAGGATATATCAATAGAACCGGAACCGAATTTATTTTTCTAAATTCGCAGAGCTTTAAACATATTTTTAAATAATACAAGCACATATATGTTTGTGAGCGCATATATATCCATTTTCATTAGCGAATTCGGTTTTAACGTTTCAATAGGGCGTGTATAAAGCACTTGGAATCACATTTATCATATATGTATGTCAGGTGGAAATTTAATCAATATGTACATATTATTTTTACATTCTTATTTGCGTCCTAAATTATATTCAATTACATTTTCGCCTAAACACTTATATCTTTTAATATCTAAATATAATTTTTATTGTATTATATTTGTTTTATATTCTATATATCAATATATATGTATATCTACATATGTGTAAAATTTCACTCACACTTTTTGTAGATGTATTTTGTAGATTATTTTCATAAAAGAAATGCGTGTGTCTTTAAATCCTTTGGCTTTCTTTAAAATCAATTAATATTTTATGTCAAAATTTTTATATAAGAAGTGTAAAAAAAACATTAAATATTATTGTAAACACAATTGACCCGTAATAAGTAGATAGATAACCAAGCTGAATGAATAATCTCAGAGAACTGTCTGACAGATGAAGTTAATCAAAAATCTTGATTTTCTCTCTTGGTCCATTGAGCGCAAGAAAATCCACCCTTAAAACAGCTGTTTACAATCCAGAGAGAGACAACAATATCAACTATTTTATTTTTAGCAAAATATATTTATTATTTAATTTTTTAATATATATATATATATATATATTATACAAAATATTTATTTTAATATTTAACAAAGCGCCCATACACATTTTGTTTGTTGATTATTTCTCTGATTTATAAAAATATATATTTAATGAATTTACTTATAAAATTAAATATACAGAAAAAAAAAATTTTAGATATAAACCTAATTATGTAACATTTATTCAAGAATTTTTTTTTAGTACAAATTGTTGTATTTACTCGGTTAAAATTCATATTACATATGCTTTATGCGCAGGTGCAATACGAATGGATACAATTCTAACCTTATAATTTTTAAAATATATATTTTACCTACATATAATATTTTTTATGCATACATATTGGAGTTGAAGAAAATTATTAACATGATAATGATGATTCTAAATAATATTAAAAATTAAAATTTTGACTGTTACCACTCTTAATTATATATTTTCGATATAAAAAAAAAAATAATAATTTCGTTGTCATATTTGACTCTCAAACTTAAGGATAAGTTCTAATTGACCTCTTTTTAATCTTTTCAATAAATATTCATACTCGCTCACGAAGTAGGAAGAGTATATTGGTTACACATCCTAATCGCTATTATTTTTATCGCGATCTGAACCGATCTTAGAATTAAGAAAATTATTAAGTGATCTTTTTTTACGAAATACATTTTCTCTGTAAGATTGAAAACGATGGCACTAATTATTTATCCCGACACTTCAATCATACAGGAAAAATGTAGTATTTTAAATACATATTTTTTTAAATTTTTGGTGAAAGGAGCGTTTTATCCAAAATATAAAATTTTAAATAATTTTATTTTACGCATGGACCTAAACAGAAAAGCTGAAGTCTCTAAGCCTATTAGTATTCAAATTAGGCGTTTAAACGAAATAATATTCTCAGTTATTCTCGATAATAAAAGAAATAAGATGAAATACGGTAATTCTCTACGTTCACGCCTCCAGATAATATGTTACAAAGAGTGGCAAAGATAATAAGCTTTAATGTACTCTATACTTGTATCAATCGCCAACCTAAATAAATTTTCAATTAAAAAAAGTATAGTCCCCGCATCATTTAGACTCACGAAAAATACAATACCGTTAGCAGTTAACCTCTTATCCCTTGATATTACATATCACTTCTACCAATAACACTACTTCGTTGGAGAAATGCATTCAGCAAATATTGTCGAAAAGCTGTACTTAATAACTTCTGAGTGGTCCTCGCGGAAATGTTCAACACGTACTTAAAAAACCTTGAAAACCCAAAGGTTTATCAATTTAATAAAAATGCACTCATTTTCATGTATTGGTTAAAGGAGGTTCGATAACGTAATGCATTAAAATGGATATAGTTATCGATTATTTAAAACAATCTTGACCTGCGGATGAGGATATTCTTTATAGAAGACTTTGAGATCGACGCATTCATACATACGAGTAGACCGACCGATAGACAGACAGACAAACGGACAAGCAAAAACAGATACATCGACTCAGCTCGTCGTCAGCACGTCATATTCCGCTATCGAATCCAACTTATGGACGACTCATTTAAAGTTTCCCATAATAAAATTAACTCTAATATTTATATTCTAATTTATAGCTAACTTATCTCTCTAATAATATCAGATATGTGTAAATAAATAAAAAATAAATATATAAATCATTTATTCACTTGACTTTTTAATTTATGATAATGTTATCGACTTTACGTGCAAACATACAAATATGAATGTGATGCTTCTATTACGGCCATCCATGCCGAACTAGTTCAATGAACAAACAGTGTTATCGGTTCACCGACTAAAATAATGAATTTTTCACGTCATCCACGCTGTCTGACATAAAATATGTGAGTATTATATTTTAAAGTCACAAATACTAATCATCTTTGGCTTTACTGTTGTACCAATACGAATGTATTCTGCTGTTTGATTGTGGTCTCTCCATTATCAATGTCAATTGTTCCGTGGTTCTTTTTTTTTTTTGACAATACATTCTGTGAACACCGCGAAATTGGCTCTCTTTTTCATTTCAACATACAATAGAAGTGCGTAAATATGAAATTTATTTATACCTTTCCATTTACAGTAGTTATTTAAAGTAGAAGGATTGCTAATTGTGCCGGATAGTGGTCTCTGACAGACAAACACATATACATTTGCATATGTAGATATACACACGCATACACGCGTACCTACATACACTAAAAACTTTTGGCAAATAATTGAAATCGTATGTAAAATGTGCGTTTGTGCGTAAACCGATCTATAAATTGAATCACGCTTATGTATGTATGTATTCTGTTATGTATGTAACCAATTTAATTGATTTGTTTAGAAAATATCCACTCATATACACATTTCGTACACTTATTCTTTTTCTATATTATATAAATTAGTGCAACATTCAAAGTAAAGTGAACGCCGTCCACCGTCAATTGGCTCTCTCTTGCTTATTACGTCGACTGCCGCAACAAATTTTTGTTACACACTGCAAAGAAATACCCCTAACACAAAGGCTTTCAATTGCAACATCTAGCAGGTCCCATAGGGGGCCGCCTCAATATCAGCTCAAGCAACCTCTTCAGCTCAGGTATGTTTGGGCAGATATATAAATTGCCTCATAGTTTCTATGAGAACATAATATCTATCGCACTAGACATTTGTATTAATTTGACATTTATTTTACAGCCAGTTTTATAACATAAACCTTGCTGCGTGGACCCATCCAAATACAACCGACTCTTCTGAAGAACTCACAACTGAAGCGTTTTCGGAAGAGGATCGTCAAAGGAACAATAAGGCGGCGGAGATGACATTACCAAGCGCCGCTCGCGTCTACACAGACGTCAACGCTCACAAGCCTGATGAATATTGGGATTATGAGAATTACGTTGTCGATTGGGGAAACCAGGATGATTATCAATTGGTCCGCAAGTTGGGGCGTGGCAAGTACTCCGAGGTGTTCGAGGCTATCAACATAACGACAACTGAGAAATGTGTTGTGAAAATATTGAAGCCAGTTAAAAAAAAGAAGATTAAGCGCGAAATCAAGATCTTGGAAAACTTGCGTGGGGGCACCAACATAATAACGCTCTTGGCCGTTGTCAAAGATCCAGTGTCCCGCACCCCAGCACTGATTTTCGAGCATGTGAACAATACAGACTTCAAACAGCTGTATCAAACATTAACAGACTATGAGATTCGCTATTATCTGTTTGAGTTACTTAAAGCACTCGATTATTGCCATAGCATGGGCATAATGCACCGCGATGTGAAGCCACATAACGTAATGATAGATCATGAAAATAGAAAGTTACGTCTCATCGATTGGGGACTTGCTGAATTCTATCATCCGGGTCAAGAGTATAATGTCAGAGTGGCTTCGCGCTACTTTAAAGGACCCGAACTTCTTGTCGATTATCAAATGTACGATTATTCACTGGACATGTGGTCGCTGGGATGTATGTTGGCATCAATGATCTTTCGCAAGGAGCCATTCTTCCATGGTCATGATAACTATGACCAACTCGTTAGAATTGCCAAGGTGCTGGGCACCGAAGAACTGTACGCGTATCTTGACAAGTACAACATCGATTTAGATCCGCGATTTCACGATATTTTACAACGTCATTCCCGCAAGCGTTGGGAACGTTTTGTTCATTCTGATAATCAACATCTGGTTTCACCAGAAGCATTAGACTTTCTCGATAAGCTATTGCGTTATGATCACGTGGATCGTCTTACAGCTCGCGAGGCTATGGCGCATCCATATTTTTTGCCAATTGTTAACGGGCAGGTGAATCCCAACAGCCAGCAATAGACATGGATTTATATTGTAAATTATACAAACTTATGTCGAAGCAGCACGGTAAAAGTTACAAGGACGGATACGAGCACTTTGAAAAGGAAAAATCGTTATGTGCTAAGGATAAAAAGATTAATTAAGATCAAATTCAATAAAGAAAAATCGCATCGACTCACAGTTCGGAAACATAACACCGATTTCACACAAAATAGAACAATAGAAATGTTATAATGAAAGGCAGATTATTCAAATTATAGTTTTTGAAATACGAACAGACAGTGATTAAAAAAGTACTAATTTCCATATACAACTTAAATATTTCTGTTTACAAATTCATACATGCACATGCTTAAAAATTAACATCAAGCAACATTATAATTAACATATATTTATACCAATAATTATAAATATAATCCAATAAATCTCCATTTCTTACAAAATCGTTCAAGCTCTTAAAGTACGGACACTGACCTCTTGGGGTCCAGTAACGTTAATGGAGCTACCATCGCTCAGGCCGCTAGCCAACAATAATCAGCATCGGCCTGGCAGTCTCCTTTGAACTGAAATAAACTAAGAACGGTATAGAATATTCAGCAATTCATAATCGCAGATAACGTCAGAGTCACACATATAGATATTTTGTAAACCGAAATACTTTAGTTTTGATCAACCTATCGTTTGTTTTTCCAAAAGCACCTTGAAGAGGGGCATTAAAAAGTAATCGTTCACAATGTAGTATAAACACATAACTATAATGAAAAATAAAATGTTAAAAATAAATGGAGATAAAATCTTAAGTGGCTACCACGAATCGTGCACGAACTCAACAGCAGACAACAGGACACAACAAATTCTTGGGAAAATTCTCTAAATTGACTAATCAACAAGAATGAAAGCCTGTTCATTATGTTCGTCAACCAATAAAAAATAATTTTGCAACGACATTTCACATAAATTTTCTTAACTTTACTACTGATTTCGCCTTTTAAAAAATTTTAAGAAAAGACAAATTACCCTATCCCAGCACGAAATGTTCCAAGACTCACATTAATACACAAGTTGAAGTATTCTTACACATGCACACAAAAGCATAGCTATTCTCACACGACCCAAGCTAATTTTTCTCGACATTAACACTCAAATTTTAAATGAGGACATTGAAATTGAATTCCCTAATTCTTGAAGATTATCAGATTTTGCTTCATTTTATACAGTTTCGTATCTCAGTTTTAATACCAGACTTGTGAACATTGATTAATTTTTTGGAGAATAGAATTTAACCTAAATTTTTTATAGGATTATATTAAATCAACAAAATAAACATTATGTAAATATGAAGTTGGGGTACTCCACTCGGTGGTACGGCATCAGAAATTAATGTTGCGCGCCCGAAGTACTGTTTCGATCTAATGCTGCATTTAGTGCTGGCTGTACTCCAAGAGCCTAAAGTGAGCCTTAAAATGTGGCAAACATACAACTTTCGTATTGAGTTATTCGGGCAATTTTAAAGATTGCTGTGTTAGTACTTAGATTACCCTTTTAGAAACAATTGCATTGAATATATAATTTTGTGAGTACAAATGTAAGTATGCCTGCATGTATGTAGAATATCAACACCAACGTTGATCTTCCGTTGTCACTCTCAAACTCCGTAATGTTACAAATGAAAAATCTGCGCACCATATGTTTGCATTATACAAACAGCACTATTACAGCTGGGAAAATGCAGCAAATTAAACTGTGAATTCAGCAATAGTTTTGTGGGAGTGCAGAAAATTTCCTTTACAACAATCGGATTGAATTACAGTGTAATAATTGATACATACGACTAGTAAAGATTTTTTATCTTCTTTGTTTTACATTACTTTTTGTTAAGAATATGGTTCCGTCAGACCGCTAGAATAGTTGCACTTGTTTAATAACTTGCTTGGGTGAAGTCAATAAAATTTAAACGCTTACCTCTCCATCATCTATATAATTTAGCATTAGCAAAGCAGAACATATTCTATTTCTATACCCTGTCTATGTTTTAGTCGTTATCTATTCGGGTAGTCTGTTTTATTATACATTTGCATACAAAAATATATTTCTAATATTTGCATTTCCATTAATTTATTATTAGCGAAGTTCCTAACCAGACCTTGATTATGTTTACCTTTTAAACCATTTTTTTCTTTTCGTTCTGCAAACAGAATTAACGAATTTGTATTATATATCAACCTCAGAAAATTATTTCAATATCTACCTCGAAATTTTATAAGAATTTCAAAAAAAAAATCTAAACCAATTCAGTTTTTTTTTTAATATTTCCTATTTTATCCTGAGTTGAAAAAGAATTCTGATCCATAAAAGTTGTTCAACATAAGAATTGATGGCAACACGTTCAGTAAACACCCAATGAATCCACACCGGCCGGATCCCTTTTATATTGCCTATACGCATATACTACATTCATAAATGTTGTACAGATATCACTTTATGGCTAGTATAAGCTCTAAGTGACAGTCAGCTTATCTGCCAGCCTATATGAAAAATTCATGCAATTCAGCCGAAGTCTTTGTATAAAAAATATATAAAAACTACAATATAAAAACAAAATATATTATTATTAGGAAGACAACAAATTTATTTTTGGTGAAGGCAACGGAAAAAATGCTTGTCACTAAAATATATTTTACAAATAAATTATATTGATTTCCGTGGCGCAGTCATAGTTAATTACATTAAACATTATCTTTTTTATTGGACGGCGCCGTCTTCCAATAGACTCAGAATATTTAACCAAATTTGTACAGCCCTTAAGTTATTAATGGAATATAATAAAGTGCTACATAAAATTAGTTCGGTAATATAATATATTTAATACATTTTAAACTTGCTTGGATAAGCTTTTATTCAAATTGGAATGAGTACAACTAACAAAACATACATGAATATTTTTTTTTTGTTTTTTTGTTATAGGTATTGTAAAACATTGAACAACATTAAAGAAATAAATTGTAATACGTGACTCCTTTAGCGCACCAAATCTTCCGGATTGAACATGCCCTGTCAATTAGAAATGAAATCAAATGGTTAAACAGGAAACATGAAGAAATTAAATGAAACTTACGCGTGCACGTCGTAAGATGGAGTCCTTGCTGGCATCGTAGGGATGATCTTTTGATGGGATTTCAAGAACAGCTGGTACTGGAGAAGTGTGCGCATCGATGACGTGACGAATAAGTTCGGCATATGTTTGATTTATCAGGATGATATCAATATCATCGCGCTTCAAAAAGCGTTTAAAGCAATCTTCAATTTCGCTGACCGCAGTATCTATAAAAAAAGAATATCATCAAATGTTAAGCAAGGACGATCAAGTTACGAGCAGAGAGCTGTGTTTACATGAATTCCGTGCAGTACAGGTTATCAATAATTAATTCAGATCCGACTTGCAAGAAAACGAATATAACATTAACTTGAGTTTCCCTTCATATAGCTGAGTCGCTTTTGCTTTCTTATAAATAATTAATAATAATAATTAAATATACATTTTTAGCTATGATTACTGTTAGGTAATTCAAAACATCTCTTTGCTTTCTGTATAATTCAATTTAGTGCTTAAAAACAATGGTGGTCACGGCAACTTTTGACCAATAAATTTCAATACTCATTCAATAAGTTAAACAAGTATATTGGTTTCATGAAATACAATTTGTTGAAGTATTTTGCCCCCATTAAAATTAAGCACTCGAACTAGTGTGTAGTCGTGGAAATAAATGTATCTGTTACTAGATAATAGTCAATAATTATGGCGCTCTCGAGTTCGTATGTTGTAATTGTATATCTATAAATATAAATATATAAATGCGTTTCTCTATATGTATATTCATTCAAGCGAGCTGGATAAATATACCTAAAATATAATCAGAATCAGAATTTCAGAACTAAAATGCGGAAAATGTCATTTAGTGCATCAAATTGTTGCGGATACAACAGCAACATAACGTATATAAAATGATTAAATAACTTACTTTTGTCGACTACCATGAAATTTGGATGGCGATTTTTGTTTATTTCTCCAACTCCTCCGAGAAGGAAACCGACGCAGGTATCCTAAAGGAAATAATTTAACGTTTATTTTAATATCAAATGCACGCTTACAACTTTTACATATTTATGATAAACAGTACGTGTCTGAAACATATTAAATCTATAAACACAAGTTAATAAAAATCGATTTTATCAACTCTATGCTTTTTATTTTAGATGCACCTACAGCAACTTTATTACTGTTGTTTTAAAGGATGTCATTAAAAAGCTCACCTCATCACCAATGACAGATATTAATTTTCCTTTAATAGCCGAGTGCAAAGCCATTTTATTTCTTTAAGTTAAATTTTACTGAAACAGCCTATAATTTTTTTTACTTAAATAAAATGTCAGCTGACGGGAGTCACGAGACGATAACATAAATACACTAAAATTACCATATGAAATACGCGAATATGGTCGCCCAATGCAAAGCATGCAGCCCTAGTCTGCGTGGGCATATATAATTCACGATATAAAAATTAATACAGACATATCTATCATGTGTAGCATTTTAAAAAGATTTATGGAATATACATGAATTTTAAATAAAAATTGTGAATATTTAGATACTTCGATAATATTTCTTTAGCCCTTCACAAACACCATTTACTTAAACTATTTAAAATACGATAGTTATATACTTATTTCATTGATTTAAACTATGGAGGGCTACTAAGAAACAAACTGCATTTCAGAAACCATTTTATCGAATATTCGATTTCCATCAAATTAATCGATATTTAATCTGCTTTTTGATTTCGCATCTCTAGTACGCACATGTTTTAAGAAATGTTTCGTGCCGGTGATATATTCAAAACAATTGTTCACGCACAACAAGAGGACCGAAATGTCTACCTCAATGTTGCTGATCAAAATCTTCATGGAGCCGTAAGTTCAAACACCATCAAAATACATATCATATTAATAGGAGTACTTCCTTAGAGCGCTGAGTCGCAGGCACACTCAATCACTACCCTCCTGTACAAAACGAATACTCGATCCATCGGTTTACGATTCCTTATTAAATATCTAAATCAATGCCCAAGTCACATTTTGAAAGATAAGGGAAATGTTTGGTTAACTATTATAATTAGAACCTGCAATAGTAAAGAAATTGGTTTATATGGAGAACTGATCTACGAAGCTGTGGGTAAGTTATAAAACTTAAGCATTGGTATTTCTCTAACTGCTTCGATTTAATTTACCGGCTTCTTTTATATCGATAAGAATTTACTAAGTATTTAGTTTAAACATGTTTTGTGGATTTTTAGATTTAGATGCAAGAAATAACCAATCTCACTACCCAATAATATAAAATATAGATTAATAAATAGTCTTAAGGATTTAGACACTTTATAAAAGTTATTCAACATGTTTTAAAAAACAAGCTTGACATGTTGCTAAATTAAAAAAAAATCAGTACTCTTCAAATAGACTACCTTTTAAAAATATATTAAAGGCTGCTATTTTCTCCAGTTCTTCATACATACATTTAACATTTTTATACATAAAAAAAAAAAATAAAATAAAAATAAATAAGTACCTTACGTAAATTACGTGCTAGTAAAACAGAAATTTTAGTATAACACTTTGTGGGTGGCTCTACCTAACACATATTAAAATTTATTTAGTTTGTTTCCGTTCTCATGTGAAGAGCTCTTCTCTTGTCTTCTTCTGACATAAACTGCGGTATATTTCTACTGTTTATCACCTGAAAAAATTAAAGAGGGAACAGAAATATTTTTATTTTATTGCTTTTAAAACTAATTTTAGATAATTCAAATGTTTTATAATAATTTATATATATAATATAACTAATGCACTTTCGCCAGTCTGCAATCACTTTGGTTTCATAAATTAAGTAATTAATTACGTATGATTACAGCTTTACTTGTAATACAAATACAAGCAGCACCTGAAACTGCGAAATGGTTTGGGTCAAATTGTCTAGGAAAGGTTTATGAAAGTCTTTCGTTTCTGAATAATAAGACAACCATATGCTGTACGATTGCTTCACTGAAAGCCGTAAAGCAATGCTTAAAGTACTACCCTGGACCCAGTAAGTCCGGGAAGCTTGCAGTCACGCGATACCTTCTAACATTAATGGACAGCTGCAACCCCGAAGTTGTCTATGAAAGTGGAAACTGTTGGTTACAATTGCAACAAGTACGTGGAAATTCGACTAATGCTAACCACAGCAACGACAAAGTTCAATGGCAAGAATTCCAACTCGGCTTGCTATGTAATCTTAACGAGCTATTGAATGATGCATTTCCCAAATATAAAGATAATACCAAGGACTTTGAGAACCATAAATTGCAACATTTTCATTTGGAATTACAAGGAGATCCAATTAAAAGAGCAGCTCAAGTATGCACACGATTCTGCAATCTCACCGAGTTCCTTAAAATTGCGTTAAGGTCTGTCTGAATAAAACGAACTTCTTGTTCATTTTTTTTATTATAGTTTACATTTTTTAACAGCCAACCGTATCCTTCAAAAAAACTGATTTGTGCAAAGAGAATTTTGGGTCTTATTCAACATGGCTTGGCAGTGAACTATGGAAATTGTGAAAACATTGACAGCATGTGCTTTGAGAATCTTCTACCTCATATGCACACAAAACTATTGGAGCTTCTGGAAGTTTTAATGAACATGTAAGTTATTAAAAATTACAAAAAAAAAAAAAAAAAAAAAATCATTACTGTAATTGCTGTAATATATAATAATTATATATACACCAACATTTTTTTGATGCGTAATCTAGGCGGTAAGAGCCGAAGGTTTTGGTGTGAATAGCACGAAGGGCTCTAGAAAGTGTGTGTATGGAAATTATATTATTAATTACTATTATAATTAGATATATTTTACACTTAAAATTGATTTCATTATTAATAAATAGTTTATAAATTTGTAATTTTAAAAGATTTTTCTACTTAGCCAGTCTAAAAACTGACCAATTTGTTTCTATCTTCAGCTGTCACACTCACCTCAGACCGCATTTTCGATTGATGTCTAGCATTGTATTGGACTCGTTACAAAAAACAATGTGGTCAACGCCTGAAGGACTTTCGGTCCAGTTATTGTGAGTACAACTTTTTTTTAATGGTATATTATACATATTCGACGCAAAATTAATTTTTAATGCGTGCTAGATAAATCAAAATTTAAAATTTGTTGTTAACAGCTGTTTTGATCTATACAATACCTATGTTAGGGCACTTAATGTACCATTATTTTATATCTTTTGTAGCAATTTACGAATTCAGGTTTACAAAGCAACAACATCATGGCTAACTACTTTTGCTGAGGGAAGCGGGTGCGACCTAATTGCTGAACGACTTGTAAAAATTTTACTCGAGGATGTGATAATCCGTCGGAGAGACATATATTTGGTGGTAATTATAATGAAGATTTCAGTTGCGTTTTATTATAATTTTTTGATCTGCAGTCTGCAACTCAATCAAAAAATAAATCTAAGAGGAAGCGTACTGCGATGTCGGAAGCATCAGAATCACCATTTCAAAGCGAACTCCTAATTAATAAAAACAAGGAACTTCTTTGTAAGCAAGCATTACAATGTCTGCAACAAGTTTTGGATTCAGTTGGCTTCCTTTTGAAACCACAACTTTTAAGGGTAAGCATAGTATTACACAAGGAGAGTATACAACCTAATATTGTAAAAGCTGAGAGAGGACCTTTCGATCAAGATCTAGACATATAATCATCATCTGCATATCGTTTTTTTAAATGTAATTTATGGGTTTGTCAAGCGTCTACAGAAAAAATGCATTTGTACTTATTGCGAATATTTTTGTACACGTTATTTAAATCACGTGGAAGAAACCTCTAGTCGTGACTGGCCGACTAGAAGATACCCAGAACAGAAATTTTTCACCATACTTCATAATTTGTATTTATGCAAAAATGTTGTTGGGCTTAGATATCAAAGGTATAGCGGCTCAACAACTTTATGGGGTCTGCAAAAATTCTTCCACCTGTTCCATACATTTTGAAATTTCAATTATTATTATACCCGGAATTCCCATTTCAACTTTTGCGAATATGAATCTTATTACATTGTATTAAAAACAAAGATTAGCGATATAAAGTGAAAAACTTTCCAAATATTTTCGAGGTTATACTTTCGAATGTTTAATTATTTTATAATTATTTATTATTATAAATTTAGTGCTTCATAAACATTTAACATTATAAATTGTAATTGATTTAATTTATTTGAATATTCTTTATAGAATATGTTGAGCACTATATTGGAAAACAGTGCTCAAATATATGAGAAGCGTGCGTGGAAGGAAAACGTTTACAACGAGTGGACCTGTCGCCTTGAGTTGTACAAAACTTTATTTACATTTATAAAATTGAGAAATATACCCTGCCCTCCTCCGTCGGAGATTGTTTTGACCATACTTGAAGAATCTAGCAAAAAAGACCCCAACTCTGACATACGAATTTGTTGTAAAAATATGATCGCTTCAGCTGAAAAAACATTACACCCTCAAAGGGAGAGTTTAATTTTCAAGAAAGACGATCAACAGAGTACATCTACAATACAAATAAATGGAAATACAAATTACGAAATTGCATCTGACATTCAACAATCTACAGATAATAATGAAAACACACAACTAAAAGAGGCTGTGCCTTCCACTACCGTTATTCCTTTAGACAATTTAAATGAAGAAACGCCAAGTGCCCCTGTGTCGAAAAGAATTCGTACGTCCTCGGAAAGTAAAGATAATACAAAATGTAAAGATAATACAACAAAAAATAAAGTCATTGAAGAAGAAGCTTTGGAAAGTCCAGCAAGTAATAATCCTGTAATTCTGCCAAAAGCTGATGTAAAAGAGCCTCTTGAAAAAATTGTGGAAGCTCCACGAATCAATAATCCTGTACTTACCAAAAATATCTGTGCAAAAGAGTCTACGAAAGTATCGAGCGATACTAAACATAGCACACCTGAAAATATTTCAACTGAATCAAAACCTAGTAAAAGTGATGACGATGATTACATTGCTGAGTTGCAGGCTGCTTTTGTCGATGAGTTGAAATAAAAGAAGTTAATTTTTATATAAATATTCTGTTAATTTTAAAAATTTAATAAAAAAAAGATAATAACGACGTTTATTTATCACAAAATGAGGGTTTTAGATTCTAAAGGATGTAAGTACATGTGAAGGATGCAAATAATTGGATTTTATTTTATATAGGCTCGAACTTTCAATGACTATAGGATTTTAAATGGGTTGGAATTATTTAAAGCTAGAAAATAAATGCAAAAAAAAATCAGCACTCGCAATCTCATTTGCAAAACTGAACGTACAATAAACTAGGTCACTTTGTCGTACCCACCCGTTTATTTATACTACATCAATAAGTTTCAGACTGGAATCTCACGCTGAAAAACCAAGGATTGATCGTCGTTTTTTAAAGGACAGCACATAGCACCTCCGTAGATCAAAAACTTGTCATTCGACATTTACAATTTATAGTGAAATATGCTGTGAAATTGATTGCATATTTTCGTTCTTACTAAGATCTCTAGTTGGTGTGGTATATTAATATAGTATGAAGATATTTACCTGTGAAATATAACAGAACCATATTTTGTGTATACTTATATTTTGGTTTTTGCTTTTCTCATGAAGCTATTAATTATCCACGTAAAGTCTATATATGTACATATGTGCACATATGATCCAAATGTTGAATGATATCATCTTGTTACCTATTGTAAAAGGAATAGTCTCTGAATCTAAAAATGGATGGATGAATGATGATAAACTGAATGAACGCTCAATATAAAAGTGATAGGGTTCCAATACATTTTATTAGTATACTAATTAAATACTTAAAAGCATAAATAATTACACGTTTTCAGTCTTTCGAAGAACTCTTATTGTTGTATCTGCGCATGGACACGATTTAAGGAACTAAGATATGTTATATTTTTTAAGAGTACTTAGAGATTCAATATGTAGACAAAATATAATACATATAAGAAACCATTTTTCTTTAATCATTGAGACTTGAATTTTCCAGACACTTTTCAAATATATATATATGTATATGGATAAAGTATAAATATTGATATTATTTATTTATATATAGTAGTAGTTGCCTAAAGACGTGATGTCGCTATGTGTATCGACTAATGATATATTTATGAGAATTACTTGAATGTTTAATAAATTATTGTTTTATTGTTATTATTAAAAGAAATGTTCAATATATCCAATTATAAAGTTTGATTATATTGAGTTTCTAATATATCTATCTACATAGGCTACGCGATTGGAATCTAATATTTAATAAAATTTAGTGATACAACCATTTCAACCATTTTTATAATCATTAATTCGAACATTATGCTCTTGGAGTCAGTACTAATGGAAAGCAAGTTGCAGGGAGTGCTACACTCGCTGGCTTTATCTTTATCGTCTCAAGATTACTACAATTGATATTATAGTTTTGTAAAATGTTGGCCAGCAAAATGAATCCGAATCCGCGCACCAAATTTTGTCCTATGCACGTGCGTTTGCCAATGCTAAAGGGCAAAAAGTGTGGAATATTTTTTTTAAGCTGCAATTTGATAGGTCCGGAATCCATTTTAGTAGTATCTTGTTGAATAGGTTTATTTGTATATGGATTTTCATTAGATGAATTGTATATTTTCACGTCCTTTTCGAACTCAATACCTGAATCGGATTCTTCGGAGCACCTTCGCTTTCCATGAAATATAGGCGGAGTTGACGGTGTGTTCGCTCTCTCTTCCAAAAACCTTTCGGGTTGAAATTGATCGGGATCCTTCCAGTACTTCGGGCTCGTGTTGAGCACATAGTTATTAATGAAAACAATGGTGCCTGTAGTAACACCAAAATCTGATATTTGCGTATCCTCGGTGGCTACATGGGGTACGATCGGAGACGACGAGTAACGTAGGACTTCGAATATTGTGGCCATGGTATAGGGCATTTTATCCATATCGTGCAAGTTAATACTTTTTTGACTGTTTTTGGACACGTAATCGACTTCGCATTGAATTCTCTTGGCAATCTCAGGATCCTTGGCAATATAGGCGAGAGATAGCATGACTAAGTTTCCGACTGCTGAGTGACCTCCAATAAAATCTTCCAGCATGAAAATAATCGTATTGCGCGACACGTTCTTATTTTCAATGAGACTCTTCAGGAGTGCATCTGTAAAGTCGACATCGGGTTCATCTAAATCGATATTGATTTCTCTTCTATTTATAACTCGTTCCAAAATAAATTTTCGAATTGTGGTGGACCAGTGGCATATCTTTTTCGTGTGTTTGCTGTAAAATGGTAAGAGCCATGGCAAGAAATCTAATGGATGTCCTTGGTTTATTTCCCAAAAGATTTCATCAAAAAACTGCACGACTTGTTCAAATTCCTTGTCCTCATAATCAAAGCGCATGGAACACATGTATTGACTAAACATATTAGCGCATGCCTTAAGTATAACTAGCTTCAAATCAAAGGGTTTACCAGGCTCTACAGATGCTTTTAAGTTATCCAGTAAGTTTGTTATTTCATTGCATCCGATTTGGGACATTTTTGCGAAATACGAGGATGACGAACGCGGAGAGCAGTGTCGTCGGGCTAAGTTCCGGCGTTTCTGTTGCAACTGTGACCAGTCGCAAAGAGCAAGAGCTGCAAGAAAATACAAATATTATATAAACTTTGAAGAAAATAAAGTCTTAATTGGAGGAAAAAGAAACATAAATCTTCAAACGATCACTGTCACTTTAAATAATAAAAATAATGTGTTGAGGACAACAATTTATACATAGCAGAGCGGTTTTAAATCTTTAAAGAAGAAAAGAAGGTATCTGATGAAATAGTAACTAATAATGATAAGCTGAGTTAAACTGAGCTTAGCTGTGTTTCTCCATTTGTATGACGTCCGTGCGCCCGTCCGTATGATCGCAGTGATCCTGTAAACCACAAAGCCATGTCTTCAATATACAGGCAGTCTTAATTATTTTATCGTATTGATAGGATGATGCACAGACAATTAAGTATTTTTACCCTGATGATCTATTTCTTATTAAAAATCCTTAGACTTATGAGACGTCGCAAATAACTTCAAATCCATTTATTTATATCAAGCCTTGCATGGAGAAAATATCAACAATAATCTTGTTTTCGCTTTAGTAAATATGCTAGCTTTTATTTTGTATTGCAATAGTATTTATATATTTCATTTAAAGTTAAATAACATCTATACATACTATATATTACTGTGCAAGTCTATGAAGTAGGAGATTTAGACCGCAAATAAAAAAAAAATAATTTTTTTTAAATATAAAGTAAGACATATGGGTATTTTAAAAACTTTTGGAAGCATTAGATTCGTTTGCTGAAAATCAATGACAATATTTTTGATTCATATATTTTATAATATATAAATATAAAACACTTATTGAGATGGAATTATCTGATAGGAGCAAATAGATTCTGCAATTGATATTTACTTCGAAAAGTTCTTTCAAGTGCTTAAAAACTTAACACATACATTTTCATGGTTTTCGCACATTTTAAAAATATTATTATTTTATTTATATATTTTATTTGAATTTTTAAATTAATTTTTATTTATTTCTTTTTTTTTTACAATTACCTAAAATTTAAAGGACAAATGCATGTATAAGCTTATTACACACTTTACAAGCATATAATGGTTTAAGAAATACTCACAGTTATTGCGATCGCCACCGAAAAGTTTGTGGTAACGCAGAAATTCTGGTCTCCCACCAAAGAACTTTCCGTTCTTATTAAGGACCTCTTTTATTAAATCCAAGTTATTGACGACAAGGCAGCGCGTATGTCCTAGTGTTAAACTGTAAATATCGCCATAATTCTTTGTCAATGCTCCAAAGCCTTGGAACGGATTGTTAAATTGTCCAATTATATCTAAATTTCCGATTATCGGCCAAGGACGTGGACCAGGTGCTTGTAGAAGTTTGCGTTTGGCTTTTATTGAATTCTCGCTCTCGATTCTGAGATTAGCTTTTTTCTGACAGCTAAAAATGATTATAGCATAGGATGTGACTGTTGCTACCAGGAATATTCCAGATATGACATAGAATATTAGGAAAAACATTTTTACTTCTAATACGACGTCTTTGGTTTAATTTCAATAACGATTTCCTTTTATTAATAATTAAATAATTCGTATTTTATTTTAAACTAAACTGAAAGCGCTTCACGATTTTCTAGCTCTTTTTTTTTTCTTTTATATTAAGCACCAGCAACGACGAGCAATGTTCTTGCCTCGCGATCGAAGAATATTTGCTTTTCAAAGCACTTTCTTTCTTACGTTTTATTCAAGTGCCGAGAAGTCAGAATGCCCGCAAGTACATTCATAAATATGTATGTCCCATTGTAAATATGTACATACGCTGATACCTACGTACGTATCTAAAGGTGTCTCTCTCTATGTGTGTGTGTATATTTCCATACAACGGTAAGCGATCTGCTGATACAAAGCTTTTATGTGCATATCTGATAGCTTCGAGGTGCTCGAATCATAATCAGAATTGCATGAAAGTTAGCTAGTAACCCTTATATTGCAACTGTTCGTTTAACAAATGTATACATACGCACACCCACATGCATACATAAATGTCCAGCCTTATGAGAACATGTATCATGTATATGTATATACATACATACATATATATATATATATATATATATCTTGTATCTTGTATATATACGTATATGTTAACTTCAGACACATGATTTCGTATTCAATAAAAACCAAAAACAAAACAAAAAACAGTTTAAGGCTTAGAGTGGTGCCAAAAATTTAACAAAGCTGAACTTACACGAGTTATACTTTTTATTATATTTATTTATTTTAAAATTAGATTTAAAAAAAATTAAAACTAACTTATAGACCACTAGATTTAGATTTATATTTTTTCTTCATTTATGTTACCCATTCAAATAAATATTTAAGAGCTACCAAAATTTCTCAAAATTGAAGTGATATTTTATTATTAATTATTAAAATGTTAATGTGAAAATGAAATATTATTTTTTAAGTTTAGTCGAAGTTATATAGTATTTGTTATTAAATTAATCTAGATCTAATTGATTAAATTTATCTAGTAATAAAAATGAAATGTAAAAATTTAGAACCAAATTACATAATATATTGATATGCTTGAATTATTATTTTTCTAATATGAAGCCAAAGATTGCTATATATATATATATATATATATATAGATATATATATAAATAACAAAATTTAATTACGTCTTATCATCAGAATTTTTGTATTCTTAAAAATGTAAAATACAGGAAGAGTTTTTAGACCAGAAGAAAAGAAATTTTATATTTTGACTTAACTAAAATTCCGCAATAGTCTTTGCAATTATATCTTTTGATGATAGACTATCCATTATATAATTTTTCTAATAGAGCGAAATATGCGACACAAAATGTTGTTGTTTGCTAGAATGGGATCGCCTAAAAAACAGTCAAGATTGCAGGAAAAGGCATACAAACTTTGAAAATTTATAGTATTACAGTCAGAAAAGAATGCTTTCAGATTAAAAATGGAAGAATTTGAACATTTTAGATTGTAGAAACTAAAATTTCTTTGATTTTGGGATAGAATGTAAGTAATATTACATTTTATCAACTATCGATTGTTACTTAAAAACTATATTTTATTCAAACAATATCAAGGGAACCCAATCATTATTTTAAAAATTTTGTTAAAATACTCATCCAATTCAACAAGAAGTAATAATTGAGTTTTATTAAAGCTAAGCTTATCTTTTTTATTATTTAATATTAAAAGTTTACCCCAACAGAAAACAAAACATGTAAGAAAACTCTAGTCGAGAGTGCTCGACTAGATACTACCCTGAACCAAACTAATAACAAGTAAGAAAGCTCTAGTCGAGACTGCCCGACTACGAGATCCCCTGAACCCTTCGAGCAATAGCTGTTTCACACAAGACACACAAGACACACACACGCACACACACACATACACACATGCATACACACACAAGCATACACACACACATCATATACACACACGCCCACACACAGAGATACGCACGCACGCATAAACACGCATTGGCTGCAGTGGTGGCTTACTATAGGAACCTCATTGTTCAATAACTTTTCTTGTGGATGTACTTTCTTCATGAAACTTTCATTTTATGATTATAACATGGATATGCATGTATTTGCCAAAGCACAAGTATTTGAAATACGCTTTTTACAAATGTGAGGGTGAGGGGGTGAATTAGGGGTGAGGGGTAAATTTTGACAAAAACCGAAATTGTATAAAATACATATAAGTATACATACAAAATTTGGAGACTCTAGCTTTAAAGATGTAGGAGATATAAATTTATTACTGGTTTTCGATAATGTTTTTAATCGATAACCAAATAACGGAGCAAGTTATCGATATTTAAAGCAAAACTCGATTTGCGCGTGCTATACACGGACCTAGGAAAAAAAATTTCAAGTCAAACATACGGACAGACGGACGGACGGACAGACGGACAGAGCTGAATCGACTCAGCTCGTCGCCCTGATCAAGAATATATATACTTTATGGGTTCTGCCACGCCTCCTTCTGCCTGTTACATACATTTAACAAAGCCATTATACCCTGATTTCCCATTAAAAATGGGTTCAGGGTATAAAAATACCTGAAAATTCAAACGAAACAAAGACGAAGACAAATACCCAACTTTCATGTTTTTAAAATATTTTTAAAATATTTAAATTTTATTCAGTTGAAAATATTCAGAAAATATGAAATATTCAATATTAATTATGAATTGCCCAAAAGTTTCGGATCCTTTTTCCTGGGTTTTTTTATTATGGAGAACTGAAGGTCTATAAATTTGATATCTGGTGATATATTTAATGTAAAAAACGAGCCTTCAATCAAAAATCGACGATAGTATTTACTGTCGTATGAACCTTAACCGTATGAGCCTATAGAGCTACTTGCTGATAGACCTTTATTGGCACGTAGGGTATTCATTAGTCCTTGGCGATGTGACCCGAGTGGCATTTACAACAATTTATCTATTGATGTCAATGTCTACAGGATTACATTTAAATCAGTTTTGGAAATGTTAAAAACACATTCCATCTAATCCACTTTCTAGATCAATTAGTAGTAGTTCTAGTAATTTACAGGCAGCTCTAAGCTTCTGCAAATTTTGTATTTTCGCTTTTATTTCACAGTTACAGTGACTTATTCAAAGATGATGTCAAATTAGGTTTAATAAAAAACCTCCCAATATACTTAACTTGTTTTGTACCGAGTAAATCTTGTAGTTTAAGATTGTAAGATCTTTATAGACTAAATTGATAATTTTCTGAGTATTTTCCATTCTAAGCTGGCAGGCCGCAGTCAGATAGCACAGCTGTTGGCTTCTAGGGATCGAGTGCAGTATCGAAACTCCCTTGGAATTTCATGCCACATTACAGGCATTGAAACCACTTACTTTCTCAATTGATTTCCAACAAGGAATTGTCCTTCTGATGCGTTTTCATTCCACTCCACTAACATCAAGATCCAACAGAAAATATTTAAATTAATTAAATAAAAAAATAATCATTATTAGTTACCTCTAACCATAAAGCTAGCTTTTCCTGTTCTGACGGAAGGTAAGAAAAGAGCGTAAAATAACATGCTATAACATCTCACATTAATATTGCAAGGTCGGCGGATATTGGACAACGGAACCAGGAGCTCAAGATTCAATCAGCAACAGTGTTGCGGGAAATGATTTGTGCCATAATGAGCCGTCGTGTGACGCTCTGCGCGAAACGCACGGTCAGCACTTTTAGGGCTTAGGGCTAGGGTTACCTGTAAGAAATTATATTCTTAATAATTAGTTGAAATTTGAAAATAAATCGAGTCGGTCGTCGTCACGTCACATTTAGGCAAAGTCTTCTCAATCTACACAGTAATTGGTTGATTTATACATTATGGTATCAGACTATTTCATTTCATTATTCTGGGTTCTATGTTCTGTGTTACGATTTAAAAACCATCTTGCAGTGAAGGACTAAAAACGGTGCGCGACGAGCCAAGAAGTCCAGCTCCAAAAATAATTTCTTTAGTCTTTATTGCCACATTGTTTTCCTATTTTTTATCAAAAGACGACAACTATAATTATTGGCTTATTCATTCAATTCAATTCAATACCAGTCAGAAACTCAAAAAAGGTTAATGATTTGATAAAAATTGTGGATAAAGATAGACTTGCTTTGCAGCTATAAATTATATGATCCGACCATTGACGCATGGCGAATTCGAAAATCTTGATTTAGTAGAGTCCAGGGCATAATCTTCAACGACTATTATAAATTGGCGTTAAAATATTTTGCCTTCAATATGCCTTACAGCAATAATGAGTCAAGTCATATACATATATTGATGTATGTATATTCAAATATCTTAATCTATAAAGTACACTTTTATTTGGAGCAGAGCTTTAACTGTTCTACTGTTTCTAGAACAAATTTAATCTTTCACTTCCTCAGAATCTTATTAGGCTAATTGAGTGATCGGAAACGAGGGAAATACCTACAATTTTTTTCTATTTTCAAACCGCTTTTACTTTTTTCGACTTTTATCTATTAAAAAGCACATTATAGATTTTATTTTCTCTAGCAATACAGCAAAACTCTTTAACCTATAGATAACGATAGGTATATATTATACTTGACTGAAAGAACTAAAATCAGTTCGACTAATGCTTTTTTAATGAATAGAGATCACACTGAAAATAAATGGGAACCAACACAATTAGCAGTTTATTTAAAATATTTATTTAAGCTTTTGGCATACTTATTTGCGTTTTACATATTTTTTACATGATTATATTTTATATATTTAAATTAGTATGAATCATATGAGGTTGTTTGCATTTGTATTCATTGAGAATTTAATCATTTTGAACGTAATTCTGAAGATTTTGGGCTTCGAGTGGAAAGTTGCTTAGATCTCTGAATTTGATTACATTTACAAGAGTGTGTAAGTTGTAATAAAGATAGACAGTTAATGACGTTTACTTCTTTGTTTAGGATAGTTACTTAAAGTTGCCTTATGTGCGAGTCTCACCTACAATATTAATTATTTATTAATATTGGGGTTTTTAGTTTGGGAACTGAAAAAATGAGGCATTGTTGTATGGTATGCGATACAGTTCTGCTTTCGACAAATTTAGTTATTTACAACAATTATAATGTATAGCCTGAATAAAAACAGAACGAAATTTCAATAATATCGCAAGCCTGATGTATTTGCCATACCGCCCAGCTAATCCCTAATACATAGCCATAAGTGATAATTTTAAACTGAGATAAGATAGAGTGTATTTGAAGAAATGCAAAAAATAAAAATAGTTTCTAGTTTGTTTTGGCGGAATTGGGTTGCAGTATAAGGGTGACTAGGCTAGATCTATAAGATTGCGGAATTAAGCTGTCGAATATGTTTTTGAAGAGTTTTATGACTCTGGTTTTCAGCGCGTGGAAGGATTTTCTTGATTAGTCCATAACTTGTTCTGTTAAGGGCTCTTAATGCTGCTAGTAGTTCTTTTTGTGAAATGTCTAATTCTGATTGCACTCGAGCTGAGTATGTAGTTGTCCGAGTTTTTGTTGGCTTTGTTGAGCTAAAAGATAGGCTATGTGGTTGAATCTTTCGTGAGCAAGTTCTCGGTTGTCAGCAGATACTTTATGTGTTTATCCAGATATTGTCGGAGGGTGTAGTATTTTCGATATTTTCAGCTATCTTTCGGTTGTATTTGAGGAGACTTTATAGTTCGATAGATAAGTTTGAAATGTTGTCAGAATTGAATTGATTTGCCCTAAGTTTGGTCTGGGTGTTATTACAACAGTTCGATCATGTCATTGCTTCATTCTAGTGAGAGGAAGAGTTGGGGAGCATATCCCCAGCTGTAATGTGGGGTGTTCAAATCGCCTAGGATAATTTCGTTGTTGATGGTGTGCTTGGGAACGATGTATGTTGGTATGGTAATTTTTGTTTTTATATTGTTTCTATTCTAAGAGTTTTGCAATGCATTCGTTTATTTGATTGATTATGTTTTATGAATTTGAGTATTTTTGTATTAGTAAGAGTCAAGATAGTTACGAGTTCATTATAGTTGTTTGTGTATTCGTGATATTATTTTTAGCATTTAGCATTTAGTTTTGAATTAAGCATGTGGTTTGATTTTGCGATTTAAATAATATTGGTTTGTTATTTCTAATTCTTGCTTGGGATTGTTTTTGTTTTCTGGAGCACAAATTATTAGCTAGGGGCTAGACTAAAATTAAGAAACTATTCTTAGTTTTCGATGTATAAGATTTGCTTTCCATTTATTTCATTTCTTATTTGTCAAGATATGAAGACTGGTTCAGCTGATCATACCGTAGATGGCTTCCTGTCTTCAGCTGCGCGCTGTGTGTGTGCGTGTATGGGGTCTGAGATGGTGTGTGTTGCTGTGCGACGTGTTGAATGTGGAAGTGTTGCTTCTGTCTAGTATAGCTAGTGCTGATTTTGGGAATCTTTTTGTTTCAGAAATATGCTGTTGGTCGATTTCCGGGTTGTTGTTGGAGTTGAGGCGATTACAGGGTTCACCTAAGAAGCAGTTTTTGCATATTTCACATCTTACAGATTAAGGTAGGGTATCCAAAGCGCAGGCACATCGAAAGGGAAGGGGAATACAAGGTCGTACACGGACGGTTTCGTATTTTCAATTTTAATGAATTCGGATATTGTAATAAGTCCACTTTCTGAGAGTGAGTTGTATTCTGGGTTTGTGTTCCTTTTTTAGAACCTTACGCACTCCAGTTACGTTCAGTGTTTTTAATTTCTGCTGTATTTCACATATGTTAGTTCAATTCAATATATTACACTTTTAGTAAACTTTTGAATTCATTTTCTGTTGCGGGTTTATCCATGTGCCATTTTTTGGAGTGCCATTTTTAGTTTTGATAAGGACGGAGCCGTCTCATGTATCACTTCTCCGCGCAGACAAAGACTATAGTTTTTTTATAACTAATGGCGATTAGGCTATGATTACGAGTATGATTCATTGTTGATTCCTGTTAATGCTATGTATGGTCCCGATAAGTTCCGTGTTGTATCATTTGCGTCAATCAGGTGGGTCGGCTGTGGTGTTGCATTGGGCCCTAGCGCGGTGAAACTGTTTCAGGTGTGTTATTGTTTTTGGTTTTTTCTTGTTAACTATAGGTTTGGGGTTTGTTTATCACACGTTTGCTGATAAGCCATTGAAGAACTTCTTATCTGCATAAAGGTTGAAGTGATAAGCAACAATTTAGTAACTTTCATACTATAATCAATAGGAAACCACATTGCATAAGTTTCAGTCAAGTAATTCAATTCATTACCATCGAGAACACCAAATTCGGACAACTTCTACGACTCGGTTTATTTTACCTTTATCGCAAAAATTTGAAATTTATCTGTCGATTGAATTTAAATACGGTGTACCTACGGATAGTAGAAGATCAGAAATCGTACATTGATTTGGTGCGGATGTTTGTAACAGTTCAAAAAAAAAAAATTATCTCTATCAATCAAGTAATTCATAAAGCCCCGTTCAACTGCCTGGCCCAGTAGGAGATTTGCGTATATCTCAGTCTGCATTTAAAATACTTTTGCTCTGTTCGGGATGCAGGAGACTCCGTCAAATAGGAAGAGAGTTCATGGCTTCAATTTCGAATAAAACGGAATAGAAAAAGAGTATCAGCTCAGCTGTACATCAAAGAACGTTGGTTCTTTATTTATTCCAATGTATTCCTAATAGTCGATGGCTGTCAATACTATTTGTTAGGTTCAAATTATACTTGCATACCAACTTTGCGGACAACATCTATATACGAACTGAATTATTTTGTTTTTCATTTAAAAACAGGCTAGCATTCTATTCAAAACGTTTGGCAAAACAACAAACAACGGAACACACACAGATGCTAACTCTACACTAAAAGTTAAAAAAATAAAAAATAAGCAAGAACAAATATAATGGATTTCGAAAAGAATAATTTCCTATCATTTCTGTATGGCTTGAAATCAATAATTAAGTATGATCAGTGGCTAATAATATTATCGCATATTGACCTCAAAACAATTATTGTGATTGCTTCACTGATCTTTCTTTGTGGTTTCCTGTATTGGTTAGCCTTTGTGCCTCTCAGTTGGATTAAGGTATGTTCTAATTAAATCCTGAAAAATTATATTTTTATACGCGCTCAAGCTGTGAAAAGCGTGAACTCGTTATGTGCAATGCCCGTCGGTATGTTCATCCGTGTTTCAGCTAAAGATTGATATTTCGAATGTGTATCCACTAGAAGCGTGGCAGATCGGTTAATACTATTTGTGATATAACTTAAAGCTCGAGCTAAGAATCTAAGATAGTAAATAGTGGATTTTCCTCCGGTTTGTTTTTACAGCTAAAAACTTCCAGTGTTTAACAATTAACAATTAATACAAATTGCAATTGATTTGCTCTACATGCATATACGCCTTTTGAGGACGTGACAAATCGGAAAAATCACCGTCTCTTATACTTTTGGAGCTTCAAAATTTAATAATCAAATTAATCTCTCCCTTTTGAGATTTATCGAAAACTATTAGAGTAATTTATACATAGTTCTTCCATATAGATTTTTCGTATGTCTCACTCTTTTTTAGTGGATCAAAAGTGAACTTGTTTTTCAATTATGCAAAATAAATGAAGTTCGAATTCTTTTGTTTATAACCTTACTGAAGGATATAGATCAAACTGGAAGAGGTATAAAAAGCAACGGAAAAAGGGCGGCAATCAATCGATTAAGAAAATCGCGAACGATTGGGGTAAAAGAGTTACCTCCGCCTTACCCGAACGGGTGGTATGGAATTCTCGAATCTTCTAATTTGAGTCCCGGTGAATCAACACATGTATCCTGCCTAGGAGAACAGTTCGCCGTATTTCGGACTCTCAAAAATGAAGTATTTGTTGTGGATGCATATTGCCCACACCTGGGAGCTAATTTGGGCATTGGTGGCCGAGTTGTTGGGGACAATATCGAATGTCCCTTTCACCACTGGAGATTTCGGGGAACTGATGGAGTGTGTACCAACATCCCTTACAGCACTTGCGGTGAGCATGTTTATGATATATATTACAAACAAAATCCAACCCATTTCTTCAATATACACAATAGTACCTCCGGCCACAAAAATTAAGAAATGGATTTCCAAAGAAGCGCATGGATACATATTTGTATGGTATAGTGCAGAAGCTTCTGAATTGCCTTGGGATATTCCAGAATCAAAGGAGGTGGAAAACAAAACAATAGTTTACCAAGGTCGCAATGAGTTCCACGTACGCTGTCATATTCAAGAGATACCGGAAAATGGAGCTGACCTGGCACACTTCCGAGCAATCCACAATGATAATATTATCACTGGTACCTCTGATCAGAAGCACAGTATATTCAGCTGGCTCGGATACCATCAGTGGCAGGCAAGGTATACATGCAGAAATGAATTTAAATGCATAATTCTATTGTTACTATCTAATTTTAGTTGGAGCCCATCGGAAGCCAAGCACATAAGTGAAATACAGATGAGCCATGTGTTCGAATTATTCGGAAAGTTTAAATGCTTTCAAATGACTATAGTCGGAAAACAGGTATCTCTCATATTCTTCCTATTTTCTGTAAGATCTAGAGTCACATTTTCTTCAATTTCATTTCTAATACAGATTGGACCCGCATACGTTCATCTCACTTTGCACTCACCAACGATCGGAAGCTTTCAAATATTTCAAACAGTTACTCCGGTAGAGCCTTTATTGCAGAAGGTAGTTCACAGATTTTATGGTAACCCTAAGATTACTGCCTTAATGAAGTTTCTAATATTTGGGGAAACTGTGATGGTAAGAGAATTACGCTTACAAATGACTTAGATAATATTATTTCGCATTTATTTCAGTTCGAGCGGGATATGAATTTGTGGAATCATAAGATGTATCGCAGCAACCCACTGCTCGTAGCGGAGGAGTCACCCCTAAAAAAATTTCGAAAATGGTATTCTCAGTTCTACTCGGACAACAGCAAATCTTTTCAGTCTGCAAATAGCCAAGATTGGTAGAGGTCGAGCTGCTATAAGGAATGAGCTTTGTATGTAATTCACATTATTATTATAGAAAGCTCGATTGACGAAACCTATAACTATAAATCATTAATCAAGTAACAACGTATCAGTTCTATATGCCTTCCTCAGCTTTGGAGCTTACTCACCACATGTTAGTTAAGCTTGGAAATAGATAAAAAAAAAAAAAAAAAAACAGTAAAAATATATAATCAAATTATTTATTTTATTTTTTATTTTAAACGGTTACATCATGCGAAATACAAGAGCGAAGAGAATTTATTTTAGTTTTGCAAAATATATGCCACGATTATCATATTATCGAAAGATTATACTATGTACACATTATTTGAGAGACAAGAATTGGTGCTACGAAGAACAACTCCTTTTATTTAAAATTCTTATCAAATAGGAAAATTGTTCTTACGACTATTTGCAAAAATATCTTATCTCTAGAGCCATGGTCGGTCTTTCACGACGTAGGCTTAAGTCTTTTCTCGATCGTTTTGTACGTTGAGAAGGACATAAAAAATGTTCATTCAAGAACATACAGAATTTCTGATATTATTTAAGCTTTATTGACAGCTTAGTTTATTTTGAATATATTAAAGAATGGTATTAAACGATTTTTTTAAATAACGATAGTCTTTTGCTATGTAGGCTTGGTGTAGACTTGTAGTAAAATTTTGTACTCTCAAGCAGATGCTTGACTTTGAATTTTGATAAAAGTATTTCAAAGATTATAAACAATATAGAGATCAGCTATTCAGCTGCTAAAGTCATCGAACAACTTTGCTTTTGCTAAAACCATTCCAGCATTTTCAGTGCGAAGGCGGGCAATAGATTCGCGCCCTTGATCCACATCAAACATATGAATAGCCGAGCCAAAGGCCAGCGATTTTTTCTGACCTATTGGTGTCTTGAATGGACCAGTTACAGTTTGGATTCGATTCTTATTTTTAAATTGGGAATACGGAGTTCGTAATAATTCTGAATCCCGACTTTGTGTGCGAAATTTGTCTTTATTTTCTTTTACAGCAGAATTTTGAAAAAATATATTTGCTGGCAACCATTGTTCGCAGTTAGGCTCTTCTTGCTTAGCCGTTCTGTTTGAAATATCTGTCATAACTATATCTGAGTCTGGTATTTTAGGAACGGGCAGTTTACTAGGTAACTTGGCTTCTGAGCTCAGATGCCAGGTCTTGTGCCTGACAATGTTTGTGGGTGTATTTGATTTCTGTAATGTTCTTAGTTTCATTGGCGAATTCGCATAGTTTCTGGTAATACTTCTTCGAACTTGCCGTTGAGATTTGTCATTGTTTTGTTCTAAAGGAGTTTGGCTACTGTTAGGGATTTTAGCACTGCTCAATTTTTGTTGTGGAACATTTGTGCTAATTGTCGCTAGACGATCAGTAATTGCGTCGTATTCTCTTTTTGATATACTTGGATCCACTTTTGATTGGATTTCACCGACAGGCTCTTTGTTTTCCAATGTATCGGAAACTGAACTATTCAGATTATGTAACATCTTTTCTTTCTTTTTACACTTTGCCCATCCTGTACTAATCAGACTCCACCTGCGGTCCGTGCCACTTAAAGTTGTTGGACATGAGCTTGGTTTAATGGATCCTCCATTTGCAGCGGCGTTCAATGTTAAGCGCCTTTGCTTCCTGCAAATATCAAATATATTCATATAAATATTAAAATAAAATATTATTAACAGAATGATCGATCATAAGACTTCTAATGCATTAAATGCATAACATAACAATATCTAATTTCATTCAGAAAATAAATATTTTCGCAAATATATTATGAATACGTACTTTTCGTTTATATTGAGTGCGCTTACAGACTTAGTAAACGCTTCTGTATTAGTGGATATCCTAGGGGAAGTATCCATGGGCTCAATCATACAGTTCTGTTGCGATTTTGCTTTATGCAAAGCTCTCGGCTTTTCAACTGATTTTGAAGGCGAGTGAGCATGCCCTGTCGCATTACCCGATGATCCAACCATGGTTTTGAGGCCATTGAATAAATCTAATTGAAGAGAAATGATTTAGTCTCGTTTCCAAATAAATATATGTATACTTACGACTTCTCCGCATCTTGCTTTTGATGGCTGAGCAGTGGACGCCGACAGTCTTTTTTGTTTGCACTAAGTTCGACGTGTTTTTGAGTTTCTCTTTAATATGAGCAGGAATCGTTCCAATAATGTTTGAGTTCTTAATCAGCAGTTCGACTAATTTAATATGATTCTTAAACCTGACGCTATTTATATCACGGTAGGGCATAATGCTGGGAGCAATTACAATTGCCAAATTTTCAGCACTCATTTTATTGTATTTCACATGTCGAGTGATAGTTTGCAGGAATTGCATAAAATATGCCAAAGTATGTACATTTAGTGGGGTAATTAACAAGCATGCCAACTGTATTGATCGAATGCGATTCGGTTCACCGATCATCAGACAGCGCACAAGTGTTTCATGCAACTCGACCGGTATAAGCGGCTCGGGAAGTTCTCTGAAAAAATAACTAACAATATTGGCCACATCAATAACACGATATAATTTTCCCAGGGGTTGACCAGCTTCAAGATATTTCTGCAATTAAACGTATTTTGAAAAGGAGCGCAAGTAATTGAAATAAATATATATTACGCGAATTTCTCGTTGTTTTGCAGCAGAGCCAGCTTTACGAAATATCCCCTCCGTTTCAGAATTCTCCAAAATATAGCTACAGGCTTCTGTGATAAATTGAGGCACCTGAACCACAGCGCCGCTTGCAAGAAATGCGTCAGTCAATTTTAGATGTTCCAATCCCTGATGAAACAACCGCTGACCGCTCGAATGCTACAAATATGCACATCACATTATTTGATGCCATGAAGGAATCCATAATTTCATATATATTTTCTATATATTAACCTTTATAACTTTTGGTTTTTTTCCTTTATGTTTAATTCCGATTTCCCTTAAATCATTCAATACAATTGTCGAGAGTAAATTTGAACCAGCCATTGCTGTTCCTTTATTTTGTTTATATGACATAAAAAACACTACCTAATATAAAATCTGCACTTAGTTCATATAAATTCACGGAACTAAGGAATACTTTATTCAAATATAATTATGACCAAAACAAGATTTGCGCTTTGACACAATCGATAACAATATACAATTTAGACATTTTATATCGTGTAGATTATAACAGCTAGCGTCGACTTGGAACGATGGATATGGGTAAGGCATGAGTATGAAGATACTCATTTTACAATCCATCAGTTGTTATTCTTAATTCAGATTTAATTTATGCATATGTAGACATATATATATGTCTAAAGATTAATGAATATATCCGTGAATAATCAAAGTCAATTACGTTATATATTATTATTTCTTTTAACTTATTTATTTTAAACAATTTTTATTTATCCCGAACAATTTAATACAAATAGTATATACAATATATTTAATTTACTTAATAGTTATTTCATATATATTGAAAAGTTTAGGTTACATATATTTTATAGGACAAAAGCAATCATAAGTATCGTGCAATAATATTTACCATAAACGATTTTTAAAAAGCCGTATATAAAGCATACACGAACTATTTTTTTATTTATTGTTAAATACAGTAGATAATTTGGATATACTATTATATCTATGATATATGTTAATTGGTTTAACTACTTAAGGATTTAATGGTCTAAATACATATGGATTTAGAAAATTATATATATATAAAATACACATTTAAAGCATTTATACGATAAATTAAATATTCATATAGAACAAATTTGAATAACTAATGAAATACATCAAATTATGTATGTCAAAATATTCATCGGGAATACCTTTCAGAAACATTCGAAAGATATGCCAGCGCTAAAAAATATCGATAGGTCTATCGTTTCAGCTGCTGTCACCCTCAGCTACTAAAATTCATATATCCAAGTATAATTTTTTTATTTTAAGATGGAAGATAATATTGCTTCATCCTCTGTTGGAGACCTGGAGAAAAAGTTGAATTCGGCCAGACAGTCATTAATCTCGTTGAATGACAACATTCGCCGCCTTGTTGGAAGGGGCCTGAAGGAACCTAGGTATTTATTTCAAAACATCTCAACGAATACATATTACGAGTGTTTATTTTTCAGAGTAGAGAAATATAATCCAGATATCTCAAGTAAGAAAAATGAGCAAAATGAAGATAAAACCAGCCAGCGTCACGACCCACTAAAACAAAAGCGGCGTACGCACGATGGAAAATTGGTATTCAATCGGCTTTCGGACAAGGACGAAATGTGGTTACCAACCCCTCGGCTGAATTCACGTGTAATTCGAGAATTGCCCTCGAGGGAGGAAATCGTTGAGGCTCAAGGAATCGATTCCGAGTCGAGAGCACGCAATCGTCGCATGTTTGGTTCACTTTTGGGAACACTACAAAAATTCTGCCAGGAGGAGTCCCGATTGAAAAAAACCGAGGAAAAGAAAGCCCTCATTGAAAAAAAATTAGAAAATCAAGAACAACAAGAAAGAGCTCTGCTTCAAAAGGAGCGTGATATGTTATTTTTAGATAGGAAGCGTAAACAACTCGAAATCAGATGTTTAGAGAAGAAAATGGCACGCCTCAGAGACTTCAAAGCTTGGGAATCATCAATGATTTATCAGCAAAATCAAATTCGTACAAAGAGCAAACCTCACATATATTTTCAACCTCGAATTCATACGGTACATACAGAGAAACTGCTCGCTAAAAGTAAATGCGAGTTGGAAAACCTATTGGAACGACGCAGAGAAGATTTACAAATCGAACTCCGGAGGATTGAAAGCTCAAGTAACATAGATGACGACAGTGCTTTAGATGACAGCATATATGAAAATAAATCAAATAAAGAACCTATGGAGAGCAACATTCCAGACACATGTAAGTAACATAGAGATACCTATATATATATTAATCCCAATTTTCCTAACCCTTGTATTATAAAACCCAATATGAACAGAATGATGAAGTTAAAAAACAGACCCTGGTATAGTTTTGTTTTTAGCAATAACTGGATTCGATATTAGATTTATAGGTATAACAACAATTTTGAATCGACTAGATTTTTTGCTCCAGATCAAGAATATATGTATATACATCATGTTACATACAACTAAAACTCCCATTTTGCTTTGGGGCTTCAATAGAAGC